GTCAAACTTTAGATTTTTAATGTTGACATAAAATTAGAACCCCTCCAGTGCGGAGTATCGTCAATGAGTGAATTTTTGTCTGATTGCATCAGCTAGGGAAGTCATGTTACATGGCATTTTCATTCTTTTGTTGACGTCTGTAATTATGTAAACAAAGTACTGCCAAACTTGTCCTTATTCAATTAATATATATTTTTTCTCTTAGTAATTTCTTGACACTTCATATTAAAGTATGCTGCAGATTGCAAGAAACCTGAGATTTTTTTTTCTTCTCTGGACCTGGTATACAATAACAATTATTCTTGTTTTAAAAAATTCAACAACCATTTATTCTTCATATGTTTTTGAGAATATACATGCATAAGGCTTAAATTGTAAACAAGTTCTTGTCAGATTGGATGTCCTGTAGGATTGGGGTGAAAACACCTTTTTAAACTAAATGTTGCATTTTTTGTTTAAAAGAAATAACCATTCCATATGCTGAGTTTGTCTTTACCAGTTTGTTTAACCTGTTGATTTGAATGTATGTAATGGATTTTCTGTGGAGTGGTTTATGCTCTAGTATTGAATATGCTAAGTGATTTTGATTCTATATAAAAGCCAAATAATTCAATATAGAGAAAATGTTCCGTTTTACCACACCCTGTGTGTACATTGCACTGGAGAAGAAAAAACGCACATAAACTCGCATGAATCTAGGTTTTAGATTCTCCGACTTTAGAACAGGAAATTCTTTTGCATTTTGATCTGCCTTGATAAAGTCCTTTTTAGCATTGTATCAGTATTGTCAAAGTCCAGAACCAAGAGAGAGGAAAAATAAATTATTCTGTGTGAAAATGTGTTTTTCTTAAATTAGAGAGGATGTAATTTTCATCATTTGTTTTCATGGATATATTCTTTTCTTGCATGAGAAATTATTGTTTTTTAGAGATTTATAAAGAATGTTTCAAAAGTCCTGAAATAGTTTGTCTGGAAATTTCTTGATCAATAGAAGAATTACGCGATACTGTGATTAATGCTATTTTCTGCGTTGGATGGCGATGTTCAAAATTGATGGCAAGATGGAGGAAATAACAAGCTGGATCTCCTTAAGTTATGTATGTCAGGGTAGGCCATTAATTCATTACTGAATCTTCTGAAGTTATGTATATCAGGGTAGGTCATTAATTCATTACGGAATCTTCCTAAGTTATGTCAGGGTTGGTCATTAATTCATTACTGGATCTTCCTAAGTTATGCCAGGGTAGGCCATTAATTCATTACTGGATCTTCCTAAGTTAGTTATGTCAGGGTAGGTCATTAATTCATTACTGGATCTTCCTAAGTTACGTATGGCAGGGTAGGTCATTGATTCATTACTGGATCTTCCTAAGTTATGTATATCAGGGTAAGTCATGAATTCATTACTGGATCCTCCTAGTTATGTATATCAGGGTTGGTCATGAATTCATTACTGGATCTTCCTAAGTTATGTCAGGGTAGGTCATTAATTCATTACTGGATCTTTCTAAGTTATGTGTGTCAGGGTAGGTCATTAATTCATTGCTGGTTCTTCCTAAGTTATGTATATCAAGGTAGGTATTTAATTCATTACTGGATCTTCGTAAGTTATGTCAGGGTAGGCCATTAATTCATTACTGGATCTTCCTAAGTTATATCAGGGTAGGCCATTAATTCATTACTGGATCTTCCTAAGTTAGTTATGTCAGGGTAGGTCATTAATTCATTACTGGATCTTCCAAAGTTATGTGTGTCAGGGTTGGTCATTAATTCATTACTGGATCTTCCTAAGTTATATCAGGGTAGGCCATTAATTCATTACTGGATCTTCGTAAGTTATGTCAGGGTAGGTCATTAATTCATTACTGGATCTTCCAAAGTTATGTGTGTCAGGGTTGGTCATTAATTCATTACTGGATCTTCCAAAGTTATGTGTGTCAGGGTTGGTCATTGATTCATTACTGGATCTTCCTAAGTTAGTTATGTCAGGGTTGGTCATTAATTCATTACTGGATCTTCCTAAGTTATATCAGGGTAGGCCATTAATTCATTACTGGATCTTCGTAAGTTATGTCAGGGTTGGTCATTAATTCATTACTGGATCCTCCTAAGTTAGTTATATCAGTGTAGGTCATTAATTCATTACTGGATCTTCCTAAGTAAGTTATGTCAGGGTTGGTCATTAATTCATTACTGGATCTTCCTAAGTTATATCAGGGTAGGCCATTAATCCATTACTGGATCTTCCTAAGTTAGTTATGTCAGGGTAGGTCATTAATTCATTACTAGATCTTCCAAAGTTATGTGTGTCAGGGTTGGTCATTAATTCATTACTGGATCTTCCTAAGTTAGTTATGTCAGGGTAGGTCATTAATTCATTACTAGATCTTCCAAAGTTATGTGTGTCAGGGTTGGTCATTAATTCATTACTGGATTTTCCTAAGTTAGTTATGTTAGGGTAGGTCATTAATTCATTACTAGATCTTCCAAAGTTATGTGTGTCAGGGTTGGTCATTAATTCATGACTGGATCTTCCTAAGTTAGTTATGTCAGGGTAGGTCATTAATTCATTACTAGATCTTCCAAAGTTATGTGTGTCAGGGTAGGTCATTAATTCATTACTGGATCTTCCAAAGTTATGTGTGTCAGGGTTGGTCATTAATTCATTACTGGATCTTCCTAAGTTAGTTATGTCAGGGTAGGTCATTAATTCATTACTAGATCTTCCAAAGTTATGTGTGTCAGGGTTGGTCATTAATTCATTACTGGATCTTCCTAAGTTAGTTATGTCAGGGTAGGTCATTAATTCATTACTAGATCTTCCAAAGTTATGTGTGTCAGGGTTGGTCATTAATTCATTACTGGATCTTCCTAAGTTAATTATGTCAGGGTTGGTCATTAATTCATTACTGGATCTTCCTTAGTTAGTTATGTCAGGGTAGGTCATTAATTCATTACTGGATCTTCGTAAGTTATGTCAGGGTTGGTCATTAATTCATTACTGGATCTTCCTAAGTAATTTATGCCAGGGTAGGTCATTAATTCATTACTGGATCTTCCTAAGTTAGTTATGCCAGGGTAGGCCATTAATTCATTACTGGATCTTCCTAAGTTAGTTATGTCAGGGTAGACCATTAATTCATTACTGGAACTCCTAAGTTAGTTATGCCAGGGTAGGCCATTAATTCATTACTGGATCTTCCTAAGTTAGTTATGTCAGGGTAGGCCATTAATTCATTACTGGATCTTCCTAAGTAAGTTATATCAGGGTAGGTCATTAATATTACTGGATCTTCCTAAGTTATATCAGGGTAGGCCATTAATTCATTACTGGATCTTCCTAAGTTATGTGTGTCAGGGTTGGTCATTAATTCATTACTGGATCTTCCTAAGTTATATCAGGGTAGGCCATTAATTCATTACTGGATCTTCCTAAGTTATGTCAGGGTAGGTCATTAATTCATTACGGAATCTTCCTAAGTTATGCCAGGGTAGGCCATTAATTCATTACTGGATCTTCCTAAGTTAGTTATGTCAGGGTAGGTCATTAATTCATTACTAGATCTTCCAAAGTTATGTGTGTCAGGGTTGGTCATTAATTCATTACTGGATCTTGCTAAGTTATGTATATCAAGGTAGGTCATTAATTCATTACTGGATCTTCCTAAGTTATGTGTGTCAGGGTAGGTCATTAATTCATTACTAGATCTTCCTAAGTTATGTATATCAGGGTAGGTCATTAATTCATTACGGAATCTTCCTAAGTTACGCCAGGGTAGGCCATTAATTCATTACTGGATCTTCTTAAGTTATATGTGTCAGGGTAGGTCATTAATTCATTACTGGATCTTCCTAAGTAATTTATGTCAGGGTAGGTCATTAATTCATTACGTTATTGACCCTTTGTTTAAGATGACACACCAAGAGATATAAGCACTTAGTGATGTCCGATCTGTACAGTAGCTAGAATACTTATGTAATTTACATTGCTGTGTCCTTATTGTAGCCTAGTTTTGTTGGAGGTTTGAATATCATGCTTGAATAAAACACTTGAAAAAGTACTGAATAAAATCTATTGCTTTGTTTTATGTGTGCAGTATTGAAGCACTTGCTTCCGGATGAGTGCCATTGCTAATTTTGTTGTTGTTGATGTTGGAGATTGGTTATTCCGATTCTATTTTGTTCCTGTCCTGTTATTAACTACATTCATTACTTTGTTGATATTCTGGTTATGCAATGCCTAAGTATGTATCAGCTAGACATTTTGGATTTTTTTATAGTAATTTAATGATAGACAGTATTTAATCTGTGTTGTCAATTAATCTCTCTGTTTTTGACCCTACATTTTACTTTGCCGGTGTTCTGAAATATTGGGCTGAACACAAGGCCATTTCAGAGTCTGATATCTGATTTAATGTTTTCTTTTGTTAACCTGATCAGTAACGTATTTAATTGATGAACCCAAGTCATTTTAGCGGAAATGGAAAATTCATCGGTCTTGTTTAAATGCAAAGAATTAGTGTCTTGATTTAATCTTCCTTTTCTATGGATTGTAATGGACCTCTAGCGGAAAATATTGATTAAAATCAAACTTTAAAAAAAAATGTATTCATTTGATACAAGTTTTATTTCATCTAACATTGATTTAAATTATCAAGCATGCATGACCATTTCAATTTTTTTTTCTTGCTTTGTGAATATCTGATAAAAATGGATATTTTCAAACTGATCATATTCAAGTGTGGATGACAAAAGTATATAGTCTTTGTGTTCAAGACTTTTTAAAAATTGTTCTTCTTGAGAAAAATTTATTGGATATTTATTTATGAACCTGTGAAAGTAACATTCAGTCAGCTACAAGGATTTTGTGTATGCAATAGAAGGATTTCGGGGGGAAATATAAACTATGTACAGCAGTACATCTGAGGAAGTAAAGGACAGACATACCCCTCTATGTTATACAGTGTTAGACTCGGACTCAAATGTGGCTTATTTTACAGAAAGCAAGTACGGGCTGAGTACCCCAGTGACATCGATGCATCAACACAGCATGTACCCACACCACCCCCGACCCCCAGGGATGCCTCCGACAGGACCGAAGTCCATGCCACCAGGGTATAACGAGCCCCCGACCCTGAACCATCTCTCAGCAACACACCCTCCTCCCCCCCAGACCTCCTCTCTACCTCTCACCACCTCCCAGATGAACCCTCAGCTCTCCCTGTCACCAAACCATCTCAGGTAAATATATAGTATCTCAGGTAAATATACAGAATATCAGGTAAATATATAGTATCTCAGGTAAATATACAGAATATCAGGTAAATATATAGTATCTCAATTAAATCTACAGTATCTCAGGTAAATATACAATATCTAAGGTAAATATACATCATCTCAGGTAAATATACATCATCTCAGGTAAATATACATCATCTCAGGTTAATGTACAGTATCTCAGGTAAATATACAGTATCTCAGGTAAATATATAGTATCTCAGGTAAATATACACCATCTTAGGTAAATGTACATTATCTCAGGTAGATGTACAATATCTCAGGTAAATCTACATATCTCAGGTAAATGCTTTTAACGAGGATTGTTCAGGTCATTTTGACAATGTCAAATAGATTCAGAATGTACAATTCTTGTTAAATTGTCTCATTAGAATTCATAGAAAAACGAGAGAATATGGGGCACAACATTAATTATAATCAAGGATGTATCCTGATCATCTGTCAAGGTCATATAGACTAGGTCAAGGTTGCATTGATTGGAAGTGTAATTTTCCTATCCAATCCATTACATTTATGTGGAGAAACATTAAAATCGCCTGTTTTGCATATTAGTAGATTATAATAAAAGGATATGAAATGAAACTTAAATTGCTAATTTTAGCAAGATCATGGTCAATTTTCATCTCCAGTAGCTTTCTAGAAAGGCTTTATATTTTCATGATCACTTCCAACACATTTTAATAGTGTAACAAGAGATTTCATACTGACAGTAGATTAAGCAGAAGTGAATTGTTAGACATCTTGGAGTATCAGGTCTGAGATTGGAAATCCACATAATGAGCTATTATATAGTCAAGTCAGCGGGATAAATTTGGAACAAAAATGTTTAGCCCAAGTGTTGAGAAAATGACCCAAAACATTTATTATTAAATTGATTCAACATATAAATAGCACCCCCTTAAAAAAAGGCTATGAGTATTATTTTGAAAATTAATATACTTTTTGCTCACTAACTGCTTAAATAAATTAAATTCAATTTTTCATTGATTAAAATTACTTATACGGAAGAGGATGTGATGTGATATTGATACTTTTCCTATTTTATTTCACAAGATGTGAATTTCAAATGAATCCAGAAGGAAAAAAAAAGAAATCATGTTTAGCTAAAATTTCTAAATAGAGATGAAGTGTAAGCATGAAGAATCATAATGTACTATTCTGATGTATAGCCTAGCAGAGGAAGTGACTTCATAATACTTCAAAAAAGTACTCACATCAATTAAGATTGTACAAGACCCTTGAATCCCTTCAAGTGAATCTCTAAGCATAGGATGAAAGAACTCAATAAGGAAATACCGAGATCAAGCCCAGTGAATTAAATAAACAAATATTGACGTAAATTTGATATTTATTGGTACAGATTATCTGTGCCTGTCTTAGTAATGGCCGTCCCGATCCATGGTGTCACATCCATCAGGTGGGTAAGGGTTAGGTAAATCGATGTCTGTATGACCGTGCGTGGCGTCATTAGAATGACACACTTGTAGTGCCGAATACCACTTTGACAATAGTTAATTTATGAAGATAACATTTGTACCAATGTCTCGGATATTTGATATCATCTGTTACTTTGATAATTTGATGCTAAAAAAAAAACATGAAATGGACTTCAACTCAAATGTTAGACATTAGTCATTTTTAAAAGTATATATATAGAAACTGTAATGCTTTATTTTCAGAGTATCAAAGTCATTAAGTTTTAGTGTTAAATAAATACCAAGTAATTTTGAAGATGATACATGTGTCTCTTCTTCTATTTACAAATACTTGTTGACAAGTTTAATGAATTGCATCCAAGTGTAAGTCCAGAAATCAATGTTTTCAAGAGACAATTAACAATTTCAGTTGTTGAATATTTCACCTTGAAAAATCAAGATTATCACATTGCATAGGCTGTCTATAAAAATTGTTTGCCCACTACCCACCAACTAAAAATTACCTTACTCCAACCTTTTTTAACCTTTTTGCAACAGTTCTTTGTAATAATTGCTAAATTTTCTCATATTCCATTCACCCATTCTATTCCTAATTACCGAGGTAATGTCATATTACTGAGTATAATGATTGAATAAATATATCCCCCATCCCGACCTACCAACCCAATGTTCTCATTCTTAATCTAGAGATATGGCAAGCAGTTTTGTTTTTAAGAATGATCTTTAGTTGTTAAAAAAGAAGCATTTTGTTCTTAATGCAAAATTTCAACTGAATAGATTTAAATGTATATTACTATTATGAAAAAACATAGTATTACTTTCTTTTTCTTATCTTTAAAACAGCAGGTGTAGAGTTGTATAGATTATAGTCTTGTTTTACAAACTTGACGTAATTGAATGTCTTTGTGTTACAGCCCCAACGCTTGTAACATGAGTCACAAGAAGAGGAAGTACCAAGAACAGCCTTCCCATAGTGCACTTGTAACCAATGCTCTCCTCAATAGCCGAGCCAATGTATTGAATATAAAACAAGAACCAAATGGTATAGTCAGATTTTTATATAAGATTCTAAATCCCACTCTTGTTCTTAATGTTGAAAGAAAATTGAAAGCAAGCATTTGTTTGGTTTAAAGATTTTCAGAGAAAATGAAAAAAAAAGTAGCACATAAAAGGTATACCTGAGTAACTTTAATGGTTCATTAAAATATGGGACTTCATGCTTCAGAAAAATTGACACCACTTTATGCTTTAGTGAAAATCACATAGATGACAAAGATTACATTAAAACCATTGATATTTCCTAATGTATGGAAGTGCATTATTTTGCGTGTCTTGCTACAGGTCCGAGTTACGGGAGCTATAATCTTGCCGTTGACTGTGACGATGAGTTCGGATATGAACAGGACAGTACAAACGGAACCACTGGCTACCTAGACAGTACCTACCAAGTCATCAAGTGGTCTCCTTTTAACCAGAGAGACTGGGCCACACTGAAAAACGAAAATCTCAAAGATTTGTAAGTCCAGGCTTTGTGTGAGAAGTGTTTGAAATATCTGATGACTATATCTTAAGAGATTCATTTCATTTACAAGGCACAAACATAGATGTATGGAAATCATGCAAGCACACACAGGGTCCTGTTATTTAAAATAAATTTTATCAAAACTAGATATGAAATGTAAAAAATCAATTTATATGGTTTAAAGAAAATCATTATACTGATACAGTGTGCATTCAAAGAAGTGGTTAGAATTACTTTGGGTTGGATTTGCTATACTTTGCACTTGAATTAGTATTAATGGATACACTAGAAATCGTCTCGTTTAATAATGATATACATGTACATGTATTTTGGCCTAGTTAAGAATTTTTAAGATACAGTAGATTCTGTAAGTAATGTAGTACTCTGTACTGTTGTAGACCACAGCCAAACTTCCGTGTAGATGCAGACAAAGGATTTAACTTTTCGCAGCCTGATGATTCATTTGTCTGCCAGAAGAAGAACCATTTTCAGGTGACGGTCCACATGCAGGTTTCTGGGGACCCCCGCTATGTCACAACTCCTGAGGGAGTGAAGAAAATTGATGCCTTCTATCTCCATTTTAATGGAATCAAGGTACTGAATAAACTTAAGGAATATTTACATTGCATTAAAACAAGAATAATTTCCTATAAATCAATCTGAAATGCATGGTACTCATTAAAAGCATGTTGTTCAAATTGTAAACCTCTAAAAACCAATTTTCGGAACAAGTGTTTTTTTTTACTTTTTTAATGTCTGTCTTGTAGATGGAATCTCCCACCCAGACAATTAAGGTGGAACAGTCACAGTCTGATCGCAGCAAGAAACCCTTCAACCCAGTCAGGTAATGTCCAATATCAATTTGATGTTAGGTCATGAATCCTTAAAAAATTGTCGAGTAAATTTACAACAAACCATGCTAATATACTTATATGTAGAAAACCCCTATGGATAAATTTTGTCAAGTTTACTTTACAGCATGTGTTGGATTCTCATTCCAACAGGCAGGTATGCTGAAGAAGAAATCTTCAAATGAATTTACAGTCTAACACATATTTCATTGCAGAATGTTGATATTTTGTTGTAGGGTGGACCTAATACCAGAACAGACCAACAAAGTGACTGTAGGGAGGCTTCATTTTAGCGAGACAACCTCCAACAATATGCGTAAAAAGGGTCGCCCCAACCCAGATCAACGCTATTTTATGCTGGTGGTCACTTTGTATGCTTACAGCGGGGAGTATAAATATATAGTTGCAGCCAGTGTATCAGAGAAAATCATTGTCAGGGTTAGCATCACATTTTCCTTAAAGCATAAATTTTGAATCTTTAAGGATATAGCAATTCCTTTTGAAATCAAATGCGAAAAATATTGTTACATGTGTTGCCCATATCATTTCTGATAAAGTATTTGATAACTATAAGTTTTCTCTACTGTAAATCACGTTTTATTTGCGAGAACCTTATTTTCGCGTAACTACACGAGACAATGAGCTTGCGAAAATTTCATTCTCGCATTTAAAAGTATTCCTTACTATTATATGGAGGAAAAACAACAATTAGTGAAAATAATGTCTCGCTAATAAAGAGTCAATGAATATCTAACGAAAATAAGGTGTTGTGAAAATTTAGTGATCTACAGTATATTACCTGTATTTTTAAATCTTTACTCTTCTTGATGATGAACATTCTCATTAACAATAATTGACTTTGTTTTCAGGCATCCAACCCTGGTCAGTTTGATAATGATATGGATGTGACTTGGCAGAAAGGCCAGACCCCGGACAGTGTGTATCACGTGGGGCGCGTGGGGGTCAACACAGAACACCCTGAGGAGGCATTAACGGTCCATGGTAACATGAGACTGACCGGTCACCTACTCCAACCCTCAGACCTCAGGGCCAAGGAAGATTTCAAAGAGGTATTAAAAGTTAACAGTAGTCATTTATTCCAGTGGCTATGTCTACCCCATCTTTTTTAAATCTATTTTTTATAATAGAGTTTGTTATGAAAACAATACCAGATTGTAAATAAAGCCATTTCTTCCTTTTGATTATTTTTCCCATTACAAATAATTCATTCTTGATGTACTTATTATTTAATAGGAATTTATAAGTGTGATTTATTGGTGTAAATGTATTAGTAGAAGCTGAAAGTATTGTTTCTTCCAACCCCGCTCTTTTCAGAGGGGGGGGGGGGGGGGGAGGTTACCGTAAATGTTTAGGGTACTTACAAAATATGCCATGTTAGCATAAAACCTATCATTTATCAAGGTATTGTTTACTGCAAAACTTTTGTTTTATGGATTTTATTCTGTTCAAATTTTAAAGATAAAATTACGAAGAAAAAAAATGGCTCAAAAAGAAAAACAAAAAAAAAGTTTCATGAATAAAATAAATATTTATCTGAAAATAATTAGACATGTACATGTAAAAAGACACTCAAAAACCATTTCTGTGGTTTATACTGCCTTTATCCTCTCAAATACTAGACAACCATTATATTTGACAGCATCATTATTCAGGGATGAAAAATTTCCTTCTAAACAATTTTTCCTGCTGGCAGATAGGTTATGCAAATATCTTTAAGACGGTAATCTAGGTCAAGTCTGCGGGTCTGTTACACACGTAGAGTGATACAATTCATTTGTGGTTGGTAGTGCGGGATCTCGATGAAGTAATTCTTCTTGAAGCCATTTATAATTTTTAATGCCAGGTTTTCTTAAGAATTTCTTGGCATATTATATGTCTGCAGATGCTTCAGGCCAATTGCAGTAGTGCACACATACTTTAACTGTTATGTTTTGAGAGAACATAAATGCCAAAATACGTTAAAAAATATGTGCTGCTCTGACCTCTTCCCGGGCCCCTCGCTTACTGTTAACATTAACGGAGGTGCTCAAGTGTATACGTGGTCCAATCTTTGTGTGGATTTTCTTTATCGTGCAAATGTTCAAAAACTATATATTGCAAAGGACGTAATCATTAGAAAATAATTAATTTGTTGTCAAATTTGAACGGAATCAAAGAATTGTACTTGAAAAATGAAAATAAACATGTTTTAGAGATAGTGGTTCTTGTGTTGAGAAAAAATACATAATAAAACTGAAGAAAACATATTAATATGCATGAATGCAATCATCAATTGTTTTTAATTCAATTAAAAGTTGTATGAAGGAAAAATTAATGTCTTTTAAAGATGAAAGAAAAAACCATTGCAGAAATGCAAATTCAGGTCATAAAATGAACACCACATAAAAACGGGCACACCCTGCCACGCACACAATCAAACGAAAGTAAATAATACATCCTCTCTTTTGGTGAGACAGAGATCAAAACATATCCTATCTCCAAGAGGTACAACAATATGAAAACAATTGAAAAATGAAAAATGTTTTTAATTATTTTTAAGCTGTAAGAGGCTTTTCTTTGCCCACTCCTTTCATTTAATTGTAACTATGACTATATTTTGGCAGCTGGACTCGAAGGAGCAGCTAAAGAAAGTAGCCGCCATTAAGTTATACAACTACAAGTTCAGCGATGATTTTGCCAACGCCATGGGAATTCCTGAGGACAGTCGTCATGACACTGGGGTCATCGCTCAGGAGATCAAGGAGGTCATCCCTGACGCTGTCAAAGAGGCGGGAGATGTACCGCTGGAGAACGGAGAGGTTATCAAAGATTTCCTCGTTGTTAATAAGGTACAAGTCCAGTGTATTTAACCAATTTAAAATTTCATGAATGTTTTTTTTTTTACATCAAACCCTAATAAAGCGTACATTCAAAATAGACTAGCATTTCATTAAAAATTTTCAAAACTCTGTGTTTCATGCAATTGTTTAATTCTACCGAGGATGTTAAAAAAATATACCAGAGATGATTGTTTATCCACTTTGACTAGATATGAAATGTTTCATGGATTGCAGGATAAAATTTACATGGAAAATGTAGGAGCTGTCAAAGAACTGTGCAAAGTGACAGGAAATTTAGAAGTTAGAATTGATGAACTGGAAAAAATGAACCAGAAATTATCAAAATTAAAGCGCTATGACAGTGTGAAGTCCACTGTCAGTACAAAATCAACCTGTAGTGTTAGTACAATAGGGTAAGTAGCAACCTTGATAGCAACAATTTTTTCCAAGAGAACCAGTTGAAAAATTTGTTAAATTTATGTTTTTTGATTTGACAGATCATCATCACCCAAGAAATCATCGCGAATTTGTAGTCATTCACATCAGCATCTGTATAAAAGCAGCCAGAAATACGCAGCCCAGCCCCCTCACAAAGACCAGTGTAAAAAGGGTTACTGTAGAAACCGATACGTCTGCTGGGGGACTATCATCAGCATTGTCATCACATTCTGGTAAATCATAATTTAACTGTAACCCTGACCTTTCATTCAAGGTCATTTCTTAGCTCATACTGATATTCTTGTTTAAAGATATTACGAACACGGATATAGAATTGATATCATATTTGCCATGAAATATAAAAAATGAACTGTATATACGGTTATAATGTAAGGATATAGGAAGCAATTTCATAGGTCCAAATGACTTCGTTATAACCGAGACAATTCAATAGTTGTAACAAAGCCTGTTCTTACAATGATTTGCACAATGTATTGTATGATTGTTTTAAGTATTCCCTATGTTTACTTTCAGTTTGGCATCCCTTATGATCTTGTTGATTGTTTACTTTCAGTTTGGCATCTATTACGATCTTGTTTACTTTCAGTTTGGCATCTCTTATGATCTTGTTGATTCTGGAGCAGACCAAAGAACCAAAACACAATCCTCTCAGTCAGAACCTGGCAGGAAATAAGATGTAAGTGATTCTCACAGTTAAACATGTAGCCCAAACATAAATCTCTGTTGTTTACAAAACGTTCTTTAAAGAGAATTGTGGACATAAAATGATGGCCTTTTTAATAATTTTTTTACAGCCCTTCCCCTGATGATGTAATAGGTAAAACTTCTGTCAGGCCGTCAGGGACTACGTCACCCAGTAATACAAAGGCTCCAGACACAGGAAACAGTAAGTCCACAATATCATTACTTAGATAATCAAAGCACTGAGAGTACTGATAGAAGATGGTTGCATGAATTTATTGAATAACTACATTGTATCTTCTAATTTGGTATTTGCCACCATTAATGCTAATATAACGGTAGCAAATTGAGTTTCATCAGGAACACTTTAAGTTTAAATTAGATATATTTCAATCTAATGACATTTAGGCTTTAAGCTGCATTAGTTATGCATAAATTGGTTTAGTGTTCAGTAAGTTGAAGGGAGATGTAACTTCAGTAAATGATTTTAGCAAGCTACAATATAAACAAATTCTTTTTTAAACATTTTCCTAAAGTAAAAAAAAAATGCTTCAGCTGCACGAAATGTATTCCTTTCAAAAATAAATTTCCTGCAGTTATTTATTTTATTTTCTGGAAGAGATAAAAATTCCTTTGCTTTGCCTCCACTTACACTCCATCATCACCACACTATATTTTTCCTTTCACCCACAGCAGGCACTCCTATAAAACTGGTCACCCACCTTCCCCCCTACCCTTCCTGTGACTTTACCACACAGCTTTGTGAGAGAAAATGCTGCCCTCCTCCAGAGCAAGAAGATGAACCCCAGACCCTGCCTGTCAATCCTGCTTATAGCATCTGTAAGTATACTATTTTAGATTTTTTTGGATAATTTATTTTACCAGTTTGGTCTACGATCCCCCCTTACCCCCCGTGTGACCCCACTGTTACACTCTGTGAGAGGCATTGTTGTCCTAAGCCGCTGCCGTTTGATGAGGAGGTGGTCACCAGTATGATGGTGATCAGCGAGCAGGATCTGGACCAGAATCGTAAGTCACAGGATTCCCCTCGTCTCCTCAACCCGAGGACCAAGAAAGTGAAAAAGAGTCAATGCTAAGCTCTATTAGACATTTTCATAGAGTTGATGTTTATTAGTTTTGGTTTTACTTCATCTTTAAAAATTTGCTAGATCAGATGCAATAATATTTGTTTAATATTAAATTTGTTCGATTTTTTTTTTTACAATAATTACACAAAATGTGTTTGTTTATTGTAGTTACTCCTCCAGCGCCCTCTAGCATGCCACGACCAACATCCGAGAGTCCGGAAGTGGTCATCAATGTAAGTGTTCCTCAAAGCTATCCAGCAATAATGACATGTGACTTGTTAATTTGTAGCTCCTTACTAACAATGAACAAAGATTTTGGTTTATTTCATGTTTAGTAAACGTAACTACATGTATGTGGTTTATACTAGTCCTTGTAGAATAGAAAGAGGGATATCTTAATTTGAAAAAAATCTTAAAATTCTTAGAAAATTAAAAGGAATTATGTTATTTTTAGGAGTTTGTAAATCTTTCCTTATTTTCAAAAGATTACAACTCATCAATATTATGGTAATTTTGAATATGAATTAAAAACAAGAAAAAAGAGTAATTTTTTATATTATTTTTTCCCACTAGACATTAAGTCCAAAGACAGATGAGAATGAGTTGATTAACCTGATTAACAATAACGAGTCCAACATGCTTCCGGAGGTCAAACAACAGGATCAGCCGGGGGATGTGGATTCCAACGCTCTCAAAGTGGTCCACTTCAGACAGCGCCGCAATGTTCCCCAGGGTAAGGCAGTGACAAATAGGAATTGTACATAAACAATAATTTATACAGAATTTACAATATGTTAAGTACCCATCCCCCATTCTACGTATTGTTTCTGTTGATCTTTTATCTTTAACATCATGCATTAATGTCCATACATGTTAACAGTACACTTGTCACATCAATGTAATATTATGCTTCCTGTATTTGTACTTTGTAGAAGACGTACAGTACACTTGTCAAATCAACGTAATTTTTATGTTTCCCATATTTGTACTTTGTAGAAGACCTACACACCAATATCTTCATCAAGGAAATCAATGTAACGATTACAGAGGAACACTGCACGTCCTGTTCTCCGACAAATAAAGTGTTCCGGCTCAAACTCAGCCAGTACTTCTCCTATGATTTGATCACCTTCAAGTTCCTGTAAGTTCTTATCAAAATTGGAATTCTCATCGATTTTCAGATATAAAGTGTAGTTTGAATCAGTCATTTCTATACTGTAAACAATACCATTCAATGACTTGCTGAACTTGTTACAAGTCAATCGCTTGTATATCATTAGTTGCTCAGGCAAGTAATAGCAATGCATGAGCAAGTCAGGCTTATAGCATGTCAGGCATGTAGTTCCAAACATCCATAATTTTCCTCTATAGTAAAATGTTGAAATCTGTTTGTAGGACATCGGAGCGATCGTTGGCAACACTTTGTTATAACCACACGTCAAGGAACTGTAACCCTAATGTTGCGGGGGAAATGATAAAAAGAGTACCAAACGAGGTCAGAAAAAAAAATATTTATTATTATAATTATTACTTACAGTACTGGTATATCAATTATGTTGATCTTATGTATTTGTAAGGTTATAATTTTAAGAGATTGAAATGGGTTTTTTTAGGTAAAAATTTGAAATATTCTTTCTTTTACAGTGGCAAATTCCCATTGGAAAGTATTTTAGCAGTGTGTTTAAATTTCGAGTGTCTCACAAGGTGTGTATTTTCATTTGATGTATTACCAGATATTTTTATTTAAATATTACATGAATCAAATTTAACTTATTTTACATTAACTTTTCAGGCTGCTACACAAAATGTTTGCCAGAAACAAGCCAGTGAAAACATAGAATCCTTGGAATATGTGGAATATATCCTGTATTTTGATAGAACTTGTGAAAAAATAGACTGAAAAGACAGATTGTGTCCTATAAGAAACTGCTTTATCATCAGTACTCGGCCATAACCTTGTTGCTGTGGCCTTGACCTCATAGCCTCATTTTAACCATTGATCTCTTGTGTACTGGTGAATGATCAAAGATGCATCAGTTACTTTCATTTTCATATGTGCTTTACAGATGCATTCTATTTTAAGGTTTTTCCATTATTTGTCATATGCCTTGTTAACTATTTCATAAATATATATCTCATTGTTCTTGTTATACATGTTATTTATTGTATATAATGACCCCTCTTCATTGATGTAAACTTTATCTTAATACCCTATCATCTGTAGTGTATTTAATCTATCTGTTGAAGATGGAACAGACTAAATGGCAATATCACAGAAGAATTTTCTCATTTTGCACAGATTTACAGCATAGGATATACTTAAGGACTCTGTTTGCAGTATTTTAAGGCTTTACATAACTCTGTATGCTTTTTGATCATCAACTTAGTCACTGGGTGATAAAATACCCTTATAGCAATGAATTGTATATTTTTGATTAATTATATTTCTTAAATGGATGAATCAATGAAATGAATTTTTAGATGAAAATCATTGTATGACGATTGTCTCTGTTTTTTTTATTGAAGTGCTACACATTTTATATCAGTATTTGTTTTACTCGGAACATTTATTCGTCTGTTAATAGACTTATTTTTTGTAAATTGCAATGACTTGAGATTTTTATGAATTATGAGATTTTTAACTAACATTTTTAATCAAATCTTCAGATGAATTTACATGCAATACAATATAAACTCTTTTTCGACCATATAGAGAGCTTGGATGCATGTTGTATAGTTCAAGTGCTAATTGATGAAAATATTTTATTGATATTAAATAATATGATACTCCAAATCTTTCTAACAACAAATAGCATAATTGAAGAGAATATACTCGTTTTCAATGTTTATTGCCAAAGAGATTTTACATCAAGAACAATTCATCGGTGTAGACATCTTTGGATTTTGTTGTTTTATTCATTGCCTCCCTTTGTCCAAGGGAGATCATTTATGCTGAAAAGGAGAGTATTAGGTGATACTACTTTGTTTTTCTGTAGAATTTTGGGTGTTATTTGAATGTTATCTTCCAGAATGGAATAACATACATTCCAAACGTTATTGTTTAACTTACATTTTTTTATGGATTTTGTTTCATTTTACTTTTCAGACATTATTTTGTACTTAATTTTTACACTGCTCTACTTTAGACAAACATTCCAATTATCTTCAGGTGCCTTGATACACTGCAAATTCTGCACACTATGCATGTGATTTGACATTTAAAAAATACAATATGATATGATATGCACATCTTTTTTGACTATGTTAATTTTGCATTTTCATTTGTATATATGTCTTTCAGTTGTCGTAATAATCATCGCCTATTATATCAAACTTAGTAGATGACCAATTTTTTGTAAAAAAAAAATCGCCATTTTCTTTGTCAGTACATGTATAACACTCTTGTAGCATTTTGTTCTGTTAGAGGTAGATTTATTATCAAGGACTATATATTATTTGATTTATTTAACTTGAACATTACTATACAGCGGACAGGAAATTTTCGGAATAATTTTTTTTTGAGGAGTCAAATTCTCTTTTTTACAATTTTCAATAATTAGTTTGTCAGTTTGCAAATGGTGGAAGACATTTAAGATTTATATATATATATAATACATTTGTATATATATATTTATATTACTCAAAACTTACAGTTGAGGCTAGAGCCCAAGATTACACTTACAAATCCAACTGCTGATTTACTGGAGTGAATTGTGTATGATCTGGAAAAATTTACACATTTCTACTTTTTTGATAATAAATAATTCATATTTTGTAGGTATTCCATGTTCAAGTTTCATATTTTAATGTAAATCAGCCTATGAGAAAACAATAAAGTTCATAAAAATATCAGAGTATATGTTTATCTCTCTTTTTGAGTTTTGAAATTCACTACAAGGCTATAAATACTTCATTAGGGCTGTACTTATGCCCTGTTCACACGGAGAGTTTAATTCGAATTAAACGTAAAGTTACTGCAAATTAGCTTCGCTTAGCATTCACACGGAGGATATGCGAATTAGTTTAATTCGAATTAATTTACTGCACATTAAATTACTTCGCATTAGCACCGTGTGAACGCTAAGCGAAGCTAATTTGAATTAAATTTTGAGGCATGCGTAAGGCCAGAATTAAGTCACAGGACACGTGTTGGTGGTTAGATATAGGTATCCGTGCTATATTTGGTTCAAAAATCAAGGAAAAGTATGGTAAACACTAAATGTATACCTGTAGCCACTATGATGGATGACATGACGTGATTTACAAATGACGTCATAATAGCCGGGCTGCAGAAGTGAAATTTTGATTTGCATTAGTTTACTTCGCTTTAGCTGTCATGTGAACGCAATTTAATTCGCATTATTTTAATTCGCATTAGTTTACTTTGCATTAATTTACTGCGAATTAAACTCTATGTGTGAACAGGGCATTAAGTTAACAGTTAGTGTAGTTGCTAGAGTAAATGGACTATATCCTTACTTACGAACACAGCAATTACTGTTGTATTACATGTATATTGAGTCACTTGATTTTAATCAAACCTGATAGTGTTGACCTTTGGTCATCACAGTGTAGCTGAAGCATGTGTAACAAGAAAGAGATCTATCAGTTACCATCACTCAAATTCTGAGGCTATCCAGTATAAAGTTTGAATAGAATTTGCACATTAAAAGGGATCAAACTACACTGGTGGATGGACCACTGTAGTTTTACTTCCCTTACAAGATTATTTCACTCTTCAGATGCTGTGAAGGACTTCAAATTTAGCCCAAGTCTCTGCACACATGGTCAACGAACAGTGAGGGATCTTGAGCATATGTTATTGCCTGCAATCAGTCAGTGCCTTAGTTCTTAAGGTCTCATTTGAAAGACACTTAAGTTTCACTTTAAAGTGCAAAACCTTTGACAAATGAACAGTTTTTACTTTTTTCCGACTAGGTTGCAGGCAGGATGTGAACCCATAATCTTCTAATTATGGAGAGATCGCCATTAACAAATTCTGAGAAATAACTTTTTCAAAGTGACATATTTTCATTTTAAAAAATGTTTGTGAAAGAAACACAATCTAACTCACTAGCTAATTAAGCTGTTTAAATTGTTCAAAAAATATAGATGTTTTCCTTGAATTGTATTGAAATATTATGAATATTTAAACATTTTTAATACATTTTTTTCTTTACATTATGTAAAAAATAAATATAAATATAGCTAATGATTACTAAAACACAAGTTGGAATTTCTGTTAAAAAAATATCACTTTGTATGCTACAGCCTCCAAACATCAAACTGCATAAGCTACATTTCTTGTAAAAAAGATGAAATCTTGTCCTTTAATGCATCTCACAATTGAAAAATTGGCTATGACATATGGCCAGCCTTAGTCTAGCAGTGGACTGAACACACTCTGAGATTTATGACTAAATGACCTTCAGTTAACGCATCTTAACGCCTACAGCTATAAATATTACCGCTATCTTTTTTGACAACATCTTTAGTTTTCGAGGTAAAGATTTCTTGGTTCTTTCAATTTTTAGCTCACTTCAACGAAGTTGGGGGAGCTTATGTAATACCCTCGGCGTCAGTGTCGGCGTCCCAGGTTAAGGTTAAGTTTTTTGGAGCAGTTTTCTTTTTAAGTACTTCTATGTCTTATATTGATTAGACATGCATGGAAGATGCATCTAATGTGTTTCATTGTATAAGTCAAAGTTTCAGATGCTGCAATTTCAGCAAAGGAATGACCAGGTTAATGTTTTTGGAGCAGGTTAACATTTTTGGTGCAGTTTTTGGTGTAGGTCTCATTTCCAAGGAAATATAAGCCCTATGTTGACCAAACTTGCATGGATGGTACATCTAAGGATGTACACTACCAGACTTGCTTCAGATGCTGAATCTGACCTACATTTTCCGGTTGAGTGAACAGGTTAATGTTTTTGGTGCAGGTCTCATTTCCGAGTAACTAGAAGTCCTATGTTGACTAAACTTGCACGGATGGTACATCTAAGGATGTACACTACCAGACTTGCTTCAGATGCTGAATCTGACCTACATTTTCCGGTTGAGTGAACAGGTTAATGTTTTTGGTGCACATTTCCAGTAACTAGAAGTCCTATGTTGACCAAACTTGCATTGATGATACATCTAAGGATGTACACTACAGAGTTGCTTCAGATGCTGAATCTGACCTACATTTTCCGGTTGAGTGAACAGGTTAATGTTTTTGGTGCAGGTGTCATTTCCAAGGAACTATAAGTCCTATGTTGACCAAACTTGCATACTAACAGACTTGCTTCGGATGCTGAATCTGACCTACATTTTCTGGATGAGTGAAGAGGTTAAAGTTTTTAGTGTAGGTCTCATTTCCAAGTGTGAGCCCTATAATGACCAAACTTGCATGGATGATACATCTAAGGTTGCATTCTACCAGGCTGTTAAAATTATTCATTTTTTGTAAAAAGAGGTGAAATTTTTATGCAGGTTTCATTTCTAAACCCTATGTTTAGCCAAACTCGCATGGATGATACATCTTAGGATGCATGCTAATGGACTTGCTACGGATGCTGAATTCGACATACATTTTCCAGATCTATCACCAAGAAACTATAAGGCTTAAATAAACCAAACTTGGCCAAATGATGCATCAAGGGATGAAAACTCTTAAACTTGCTTCAGATGCTGGATTTTGATCACATTTTCGTGATGAAGAACTAGTTTGAAGTTTTTATATAGGTATCAGATCAAAATTACATAAATTTTGCGTTTTTGGATGTACACTTTTTGTTTGGTAATTGTGTGACTTTGCCTTACTTAAAGACAACATTCGTTGAGGTGAGCTCTGTAATCTCTGATTACCTATGTTTTATATTTATGGGCAAATTTGTACAAAACCACATAAACAACAAAACAATTTGACTGGTGTTTTGATGCTGTATTTGCATAAAAACATTCTATGCCATACACAGTATCATAAGTATCAAATATCACAAATTGCATTTATACAAAATGGAGAAATAAATACGTTGATAACAGAGCTACAGATTGCAGTGAGAAGCAGTCCTGATAAGAACACACACATTCATTCACTGTACACAGAAAGCTGTCCTATCTCGGCCTAAATTTTACGTTTCATGTAAACTTTTTTTTTATCATATTGATGATTACTTTGAAAATAAAATGATACCCCCAAAACAAACATGGGTACATATTCATAGAGTTTGTGAAATTACTACTATACTGACTTTGACATAACAAGTGAAGCATAACAAAAAGATAACACAATCTGGGCAGTTCTTAATCAATGAACACAGATTCCCACGGTCACCTATAAAAGCTAACCCTGACAGATCAGGATTTTAGTTGTTATATTTTAAGAATTACAGATCATTTCTCCATTAAAGATACAATTTTCAAATTTATATATATTCATGTTTTCTTTATCTCACAAACTTTAAATACAAACATTTTCTTTTCAAAACCTACAAAAAATGTTTTTAATTTTTCAACAACCTTTATATAATGTCAAAAACTTGTGTATATATTTACTTAAGTTTGATATTTGTCAGGAATGTCTCCAAACTAGCCCAATTGTGAAAGAAAAGTTTACTCCACAACTCATTTTTTAGCAGTGTTAATTTAATTTTGACTGAACACTAAAATTTCCTACAGCCCATAATTATCCATTCAATGCGAAGCTATGCTTACATGTAACAGAATTATTAAGCTGCCACAACCGAAGACTTTGAAAAAGACCCACTCTGACAACTGAAATGGATTCCTATCCAGGTAATACAGCATTTCTGCCATTTTAGCGGCATCACAACCTTGTGCTAGATATTCTAACAACCTAGAGTACTAGAGTTTTACATGTTCATGTACCAAGATATGTCACTTTTTAAAAACTTCCACAAGCAGTTTGCAGCATGTAACCTCTACATTTACAGTCTGTTATTCTATACACTGAATGGATTATAAAGGGATAAGTATATTCAATGAAATTATTTTAAACTGACAGATATAGAAGGCTATCTATTTTTTGTAACTATGGTATTCATCCTATCAAATTGCACAACATTTGGATGTTAAATTACTATGTTTGCATAGACAGCCCTTTTATGAACTTTTGAGTTTGCTTTATACATTTTCAAGAGTAATTTCTAAATGATGTATAAATTGAGATTTCAATGAATACATGTTCATGATAAGTATGAAATTTTGTTCTGACAATAATGCTGGTATTTGTTTTATACATGATTCTAAGACAATAATTATTGCTGGTTGAATGACTAATTAAAATAAGACTGCCTACTCAAACATATCTTTCATACACAATATACAAGGGTAATAAAATAATTTTAAAAATCTACTTTACTATCTATATACATTTAATTTATTACTTTCTATATAAAAGTGAATGTTATATTTATATACATACAGTTTTGTTTTTAATACATTATATGATTATTTTTTAATTCTCATAAAAATTGTCAATTTTCTACAGCACTATTGGATTTCAAACCATGGTGGCACATTATCTGTGCTCAGTATTTAGGGACAAATTTTGGGCAAGACGTTATTTTTCATATCTACATACCAAACAAATTTCAAAGTAGGCAATAAATTCACACTTACTAGTGCTCCTTATCTAAACTTAATGGAATCGCTCCAAGTCAAATTCTGTTTCCCTATTTCATCAACAATTAAAAAAAAATCTACAGTGTTTCACCATTTTGAAAATATAAATAAAGATTTTCAAAGAAATGCAGTTGGAAAATTAAAGAGACAGAATTGAAATGGAATGTGGTCTACATATTACTTAAAGAAATGAGAATATATTCACAATTCCAGAACTCTGTTAAACTTTTGTCATTAATAGGTAAACATTTTCATGGATATTCAATATGAATTATATAATACTTTTAAAGAAAATCTGCAAAATCCATGTAAATTTTTTAACAGTTCTGCATTTGAATAAGTACATTTATACATTTATTTTCCATCTTATAAATATTTATACATTTATTATGCAGGTCAAGAATGAGGTAACTTTTCATACTGGGTAGGAGTTATTTCCCTTTGAACTTGGACAGGCAGCAACAATACACAGATCTCCATTTTCTTGCTATAAATGCATTGTCTACAGCAGGGAACACCGACAATACACACAAACACACATACAAAGTGATGGTTAAATGATTCTTCTGTAGTTTTGGTCTTGGTAAAGTAAATGCCATTCAAAAATGGATGAGGAAAACTGACCATGGATGATAAAAATGAATTTAGACATATATTTTCTGTATAATATATGAAAAATTGGTAGAAATCTACCAAATACTCCATACAAACAACAAATCTACAGTTCTACCTAGTAAGGTTTTATAATATTCCTAGGTCTGATTTACATACACCTGGTCCTCTCAACTTGATATATGACATCAATACCTTAACTCCAGATACAAATCAGTGGCCAACATAAATAAAGGCTTATGTGAGAGTTTTCATGACTCACAATTTTTAAAAAACAATTTACAATATTATTTATAGATTTGCTATTTGTACAGTAAGATGCTAATAATTTGTTACAACCTAGAGTAAAATGTATTAATAGTTCATCATGTGTTCGGTGGTCCGGCGGTGCATGGAGTTGTCCGCCCCTCCCTGTCGGCGGACATGCTGGGGGGACTGCTGTGTCTGACCCTCGGTCCCGCTGGGTTCTCCCTCATCTCCACTCTCCCGACTTTTGTCTTTGGTCCTGAATTTCTTCCTCCACGATGGAGCTCGTCTTAACTTTCCTCCTTCACCCTGAAAATTCAAACATTTGTCAGGTATCTCCAAAGATAAAATGTCTCTTAGCAATTGGTACAAGTAAGAAATCAATAGTAAATTCTCAAATTAATCAATATGTAAATTTAAATTCAGAATGATTTTTATCTACATGTAGTTTTTCTGAAAAGAAATAATGAGGAGGTTAGAATTGAAAGCAGTAGCTGTTTCTAGCTTTTCTTGTCAGGTAAGCTAAAGCTTATGTCCTTATTTACACAGATCCATCTTATCATCTTCCCATGTTTTGCTAACAAAAAACAATCTTTAAGCATGGTTTGCTACAAGGGTGCCTTGTCAGACAGAACACCCAAACCTAATTCATAAGCATGGGACTTGAAATAACAAACTAAAGGCCCATGGGCCACATCCCTCACCTGAGTCACTCGGACCCTACTGTTCTTTACCAGCAGATTTTACCCTATGTATTCCTATGTTAAAATTTGATCATCTATTTTGCCCCCTGACAGTCATAAATTAAAGGGGGAAAACTTGACCCTAAACCAACAAAGGGTGCTTCCCTATTAATAATATGACTAGTCATGACTTTGCTATTACATGTACTGAGATTTTCAAGGGTTCTTGAAAAGAATCTTGAAAATGTGAAAAAGTTTACAGACAGCTAAACAGAAGTTTGCCCCTGGACAAAATACGATCAGAAAAGCTTACTTTGAGCTAAAATCAATAAATTTAAATAAAATGACTTCTTTGTGAATCTCTGAAAAAAAAGACTCACTTTTCAGTTCATATTGACTCTATCTATTAAATCTTTTATTAGCATGCATATTAACAATGTAGATACTCCTAATAATTTATACTGTTTTTACATGTATATAACATAGCCAATTGTGTAAAGTAAACTATACTACCTATTCAACGTTTGGTCTATAAAGCTCTTGAATATCATGCAGTATGTTTTGCTATTATGAATGAACAGAGTGAGCCATTCAGAATAACAGTTTATATAAAGTCAGTATGATGAGTTGTTTTATAAATTCATGTGAAAGGAAATAATCATTCATTGCGATACAGATATTAACTTCACCTGAATTTGAGAATATAGAGACTTCAAGTAAATGTAGAAAGTTATCAAGACAGGAAATATTTGTAGCTTATCTGACAGTGCCCTGTGAATCTAGTGATAAATTTGAGAAGTTGAAACTCTTAGTGTTATTAAGCATTGATTTTAATTTTTATTCACCTCAAACCCCAGAAATCACACAAAAGTACCAGTGTTTTCAACTCATCAAACAAAGACTGAAAAGTGATTTATTTCAAGAAATTTCTGTTTATTATATATTTGATAAAGTGATATAAAAATCATAATGAACGAAAGCATATATAGAAGGCCTTTTAAGTCCCAAGTAATGCCAATCCAAAATGCATCAGGTGTTATGGCATGAAAGCTGTTAATTTGTCTCACCTAGGAAAGATACTAATCCCTTCCTTTTTTTCTTCTGAAAATTCAAATTCAGCGGCAACATTAGCATTGAACTAGCAAGATGATAATATACAATATTTGACAGACTTATTTTTCATTCCTCTTTGCAACCTCTCTTTGCACTGCGCATGATCAGCCATTTGATGAACAAAAAAAACTTTTTTCTTTTTTAAAATTGCAAAAAAGAAAACAACCAAAAAAATGCAATGTAATTTTTCTCAAAAAAAAATTATGCTAGAAATAAAACATAGGTAATCAGAGATTACAGAGCTCACCTCAACGTGTGTTGTCTTTAAGTAAGGCTAATTAAGTCACACAATTAACCAACAAAAAGTGTACATCCAAAAATGCAAAATTTATGCAATTTTGATAGCTACTTTGGAATAGACCTATATAAAAACTAAAAACTAGTTCTTCATCATGAAAATGTAATTAAAATCCAGCATCTGAAGCAAGATTGAGAGTTTGCATCCCTTGATGCATCATTTAAGCAACTGGTTTATATAAGCCTTATAGTTTCTTGGTGATAGACTTGCACCAATAACTTTTACGAGGTCTATTATCTGGAAAATGTATGTCGAATTCAGCATCTGAAGCAAGTCCATTAGTGTGCATCCTAAGATGTATCATCCATGTAAGTTTGGTCAACATAGGGCTTAAAGTTACTTGCAAATGAAACCTGTATAAAAAATTAACCTTTCCACTAATCCAGAAAATGTAGGTCAGATTCAGCATCCGAAGTAAGTCTGGTAGTATGCATCCTAAGATGTACCATCCATGCAATTTGGTCATTATACGGTTCATAGTACACTGTTCCTTGAATATGAAACTTTCACCAAAAACTTTAACCTGTTCACTCAACCGGAAAATGTAGGTCAGATTCAGCATCCGAAACAAGGCTGGTAGTATGCATCCTAAGATGTATCATCCATGTAAGTTTGGTCATTATATGTCTCATAGTAACTTGGAAATGAAACCTGCACCAAAAACTTTAACCTGTTCACTCAACCGGAAAATGTAGATCAGATTCAACTTCCGACGCAAGCCTGGTAGTATGCATCCTTAGATGTACCATCCATGCAAGTTTGGTCAATATAGTGCTCATAGTATCTTCGAAATGAAACCTGCACCAAAAATTTTAACCTGTTCACTCAACCGGAAAATGTAGGTCAGATTGCAGCATCTGAAACAAGGCTGGTACAATGAAACACACTAAGATGTATCATCCATGTAAGTTTGGTCATTATATGTCTCATAGTAACTTGGAAATGAAACCTTCACCAAAAACTTTAACCTGTTCACTCAACCGGAAAATGTAGGTCAGATTCAGCATCCGAAACAAGTCTAGTTGAATACATCCTAAGAATGAAATCATATATGCAAGTTTGGTCATCAAGTAATGCCTCCAAAATGCATCAGGTGTTATGGCATGAAATGAAACCTTCACCAAAAACTTTAACCTGTTCACTCAAAAAAATTCAGCGGCAACATTAGCATTGAAAGCAAGATGATAATATACAATATTTGAAGATGTATCATCCATGTAACCTCTCTTTGGTCATGATCAGCCATTTATGTCTCAAAAATACTTTTTTTCTTTTTTAAAATTGAAACCTGAAAACACCAAAAATTGCAACCTGTTCACTAAAAAAAAATTATGCTTGAGATAAAAAAAACAAACAAACAAACAAAAAAAAGAAATACATGCAACATATCTGGTAACCATGCAAACATTACAGCATTCAGAAATATTTTGCACACTGGTATTTTAATTTCCTACGATAAAAAATAATAAAAAGCTTAAATATATTATCTATTTTACTTAATTTGAAAACAAAATTCAACTTTCAACTATTGGAACAAAAGAGAATACTGAAAAATCACACTTAAAAAGTTTATAATTAAAAACTTGTATTCAAACATGATGTTTTACTTTCTAACAATTCTGCTTCAAGTGGCATTCCTGGACACTTTCACTCACCATCACAATGGATTTACGATTGGATAACATCAGGGTCAAAGGTTGACAGGATCCAATCAAATGTCACACATGGGGGGACAAATCTAATTGTAATATAATGACTGACCAATCCAAATCTTGCCCATGACCAACATGTTAATCAATATAGGACATAAAAGCGTGCCTGAAAAAGAATTTAATGGTCATGTCCAAAAAAACTTATAATATAGTTGTATACAGCCGACGCCGATTATCGCCACTCGATTCATCGCCATTTTCGCTATACCGCCATGATTTGCCAAGAACGTTTTTCCTGCTATATAAAATTCTCTTTATAACGCCAAATTCGTTGACCGCCATCCGCCACCCTGTTTTCACAACAAACGTCCATTTTTAAGTGTCAAATCTCGATATAACAGGTGCATGTGCATGCAAGCGCGATAATTGGTTAACCATGCAACCATCACTGTTGTAAATATGCAAAGCACAAGGTACATGCAATTAAATAATTAAATAAAAAAATAAAAATGATTTTAACATATATTATGATAATTTTGTTTTCTTTGAATAAAAATCATTTAGTGACGGCTTTGCCACGAAGGCGGTCGTTGTTTGGAACACAGATAACGATATTATTTTGAAAAAGCTTTAAATAATTAAAAATTTGCTTAAAAAATAATTATACGGTATAAATTCTGCTTCAAGTTTTTTTTAACAATGATTCCTTAAACAATGAATTTATTGAAGAATTCATAACATAGGGTCAAATATATCAGGATCAGCATTTTTTTTTTCAATATCAAATGTGCACACATGTGCTTGTCTTTACATAACTGCACATTTTGTTTTAGCGAAATTGTACATAAAAAATTACTTGAAGTATTTTAAAACTTAGAAATATGTTTTAATATGTACATGTACATGCAACATGTTCCCAAATTCACGCTCTAAAACCTGGCGTGCCTGAAAAAGATCATTTTATGGTTTTCAGACTTGTACATGTCCAACTCCATACCGGTATGTTAGAGTACTTATACATTGTAATATAGTTGTATATAATCTTTATCAATGATGATTGCAATTGTAAAGATTAAAATTTTCAACACAGGAGTCTTTTGAATTTGTTTTTATTTTAGAATACATATAAAAACTTGTATATATACAGAATCTTCAGAAGTCTTGATGATTTTTCTCATGCCCATTTTGAGATAATAAGGTTTGCCAGTAATCCTATTGGTACTAACCTGTGAGCTTTGGCTTGGAATCTGTAGTGCTAGCGCCATACTGTTGGCATCAAAGCTTTCATCTAAGGCAATTAAAGCACCATGAACCCCAGATTCTATAAGATTATTTGCATATTCCCGTAAACCTATGGATTGGACCCACTTTATAAGTCTCTCATTGGACCACACCAGTATATCTGAAAAACAAGATGGAAGAATAATCAAACTATTCCATCAAAAGGTTTTTTTTTTCTTTTTAGACTTCTTTTCTCTCTCTCTTGCTTCATTTTAAACAAAGACATGAGGAAATTGTAAAACCTAGAGAGTTACTTACAAAATTCAATGTATGCCTGTTTAATGTATGATCTCTTACCTTTAATTTCTGTAGCACTTTCCTCTCTTCTCCTTTCCAATTCCTTCTTGTCATAATTCACACGTTTTAAACAATTAATAGCATACTGTAAACTTGTTCTGAAAGAGAAAATTTATAATGTAAGATAGCTGGTCTTACTCATTTATATATCTGAAAAAGCATATCAATTTGTGGATGCTCTAAAGAAATGCCATATCACTAGATTTTGAACATTCTCCAGAAATATTTTAAACATCTAAATGTTGTTCCGTTTGGCTTATGAGATGGCCCCTGACCTATGAAAGCTGTCGACCATTTTGAGTTGTCCCCTCAGATCTTTCTTGGTCAGATGATCCAGCATCCTTGCGTCCACCAGACACTCCATGAAGTGACTGCGATACTGAGGAAGACCGATCGACGGCAGCCATTCATTGCCGATCCACTCGTGATTCATGTCCCCAAACGCCAGCGTCTACAACACACAGGGTAGCAAAACTGTTCATATGGAAACGATTTACAAAACTTTACAATAGCAATCACTGCCTTGGGTTAAGGTTCATGTCAAGTCAAATCTGAACTTGGTGAATGAACTCTTCAGTAAATTATATCAAGCAAATAAGAAACATACAATCTCCCACTATACTTACAGAACTAGACGTCTTTGGCGCTGATGGACTGGTCAGACTGACCATCTCCTGTATGGCCAGTCGTAACTTGAGGCGATGAAGAGGATTACTGATTCCGATCTCTCGCTGTATCTCCTGGTCAGAGAGTGCGGACATGATGGCTCCACTCTTAACATTAGCTCTACACGCTGCCACGTACCAAGCAGGCATTCCCACCCACAGCTGAAAAAATATTCATAAGGGGCTTACTGACTGCAAGACTGGAATCAATTACTGAATATCAATCTTTAAACCTGAACTTGTCATTGAAAATAAACTTGTTGAATCTGATCACATTTAAAACTAGTGTTTTCATAAATAAGAAAATTACATTATTTTACTTGCAGAATACTTGTTTGAATTGTATATTGAGTGGTAAGAAAAATATATTCTTTTATTAAAGTGAAAATGTCTGTGTTTGTCAATCTGATCAATACCTCTAGCCAGGCTACGACTGTTGGTCCGTTCCACAAAGCAAAAGGTGTACCAGCCTTCATTGCCTCCTCCAGAAGTTCATGCCTATTACATAATAATTCATCCATTAACAACAGCTCTTTGAATTACATAAATGTGAGATGATTTTTTTAATACACTAGAATAACATGAGTGGTTTAAGTGAATCTCACTTCTTCTTTTTCCTCCTGTCGTACTCGGACTGACCCAGACCCAGAGTCAGGGCGTCCCCAGCACCCACATCACTCAGGTCCGCAAACGCACCTCCTGTACAATAGAAATGTATGTAAATCAAGGATTACAAAACTTGACTTCATGATTGTTATCTATAAATAAGAGATAATCTTGTGTCAAATGAATGCTCAAATGACACACTTAAACAGTCATAGTCTGCCTTTCATATTTGGTCATAGTGGGTTTTAGAGTTTCTTGGGCAAGGACATTGGCATGAATAATAAAGCAATTAGCTGCACAGCTCTCACTAGACCGGAGAGCTACAGTGCCACCCATTGAAAAAACTGTGTATTTATTGCGCACAAAAAAGTGCGCTCGGTTCTCGATTTATTTCTCCATGTTTATAAATCTGTAATCTCAAAATATTACTAACCGTGTGTTCCTCACATATTCTTTCACTGTTTCCACAACCAAACATTCCTCAAAATAGTTGTCAATAGTCCTCCTGACCCTGATATTGTTATCATCGAAAATTTCGCTTATTTATACTGCCATTTTGGTTTCAAAGATAATTCGGTCCAATATGCTTCGCTCAGATGTTAACTACGTGAGTACTTGATAGAGGAGAAAGGGATTTTTTGAAATATTCCATTTTTGCAATTGAGGTTAGAATTTTGACGAATTAATCAAGAACCCAGCGCACTTTTTTGTGCGCAATAAATATACAGTTTTTTCAATGGGTGGCACTGTAGCTCTCCGGTCTATCAATATATTTTTTCGGAGAGCTACAGATCTGCAGCTATAAAGCAATATACAACTCTTGATTCATCACCAATTACATTTTAATGTGGGAATTACAGCTTCTTGGCAAATATAACTGCTCCAAATATTCCAACAAGCCAATCACTCATTAAATGACAGTAACTCAGATACTATTAGTTACACAGTCAGTTAGTGACCTAATACGGATTCATACAGGGTGTGAAATGGAAATCCGTATTAATTCACACCCTGTATGAATCCGTATTAGGTCACTAACTGACTGTGTTACGAATTTATCCCGCTGAATACCTTTTTCAATATAAAAAAATATTTGTGCATATTATGAAAATATTAAATTTTAATCCAATAACAATCAACATAAAATATTGTTACGGTAACAAGAAATTTAACTAAACTACCTACATAGACCGTTTCTTTGCCGCCATTTTTATTTACAATAACAATGCTGCGAACGGAATCGCGTGCCCGATTTTCATATTACGTCTCGTCGGAGACATAATACGGAAAATTTCAGGGCGTCATATGATCAGCCTTTATCCAATCAGCAATCTACAAATTTGTCTGAAGCGGGATAAATTTCTTTATACATCTTCAAAACCAAATGTTTTTTAAACTAAGGCTTACAGCCTAATTCTTGGACCTGAACATGAACTTACATGTATAGTATCAGGTATGCTGACAGCAAAACCCTGAGATACTATTACCTCAGTACAAAAAACTGCTTCATGGAAATGAGAACATACATGTACATACAATTTTGATTTTTTTATGGATTTAATGACAAGGGTCCATTTGGATTGTACTTATTCTTGACATATTAGACTGAGGGCCACAAAGAGAAACAAACTTCAATATACCCACCAGCAGGCAGCAGTTCCTGAGGTAGACCTTTGGCTTTCTGTTTCTCCTTCTTGCTGAAGAGTCGCCCCAGTGAGCTCTTGATGCCTTTCTTCTTCTGTTGCTGCTGTTGTTGTTGTTGCTGGTTTTTGTGGAGAGAGTCCTGGCTGCTGTTTGGTGTACTGAAGGGACTCTGAGAGGACTGGGTGGTGTCTATTACAGTTCTACTGCAAAATGAAATAAATCAAATGGATTTTATAGAACAGCAAAAATAAATAAAGTACAATATAACCTTTCTATTCATAGTTGAGTTGAATGTGAGGAGTGTACTGCAGGAGGGGGCTTTCCTACAGTTATTTTTCCCCTAATGAGTGTTATGACTGGCTTTGATTAGTTCAAGCCTAAGAGATGGGGTGGGGTTGGGGGGACTTACCTTGGTGTATCCTCTACAGAGGTATTATGACTGGCCGTGGCTCGCTCGAGCCTCAGAGATCGTGGGGTTGGGGGACTAGATTCACACTTGATTTGTCGGTTCTCCTCATTAATGGTTGAGTCATCCCTACTATACATCTGAAATGGAGGAACAATGCTGGTAACACAAATACATCTTCATCAATGTACATACATTGATCTTGAAAAATATGATTGGCACCAATACAACAATATTTCTTTCAGATTTCTTATTGATTTTTTTTTAAATTATGAATTACATAGTATTGAATGTACAGTACACCTTTTATAATAGCTAACACACAATTTTTTGACTTGTACCTGAGCAGTAGATTGACTTACCTGTGCTATATTGTTTTCATTGGCAGCAGTAGCTAGCTGAGGACTAGAGGAGGAGTAGGTATACAGGTGGGCAGTGGACATTCCAGCAGGAGCCTGTAATATACATTTCAAAAAATCAGCTTTTTTTTTTTACTTACATATATGTACATTTAAGTTCTCAATTCTCAAAATGTATACTTTAAATAAAAATAAACTGCAAGTTTTCAAAATTCAGATTTTCTGTTTTGTATATGCATGCAGTTTTTGGGTAGAAAGAAGTGGGTGAAGATATCAAAATATCATGCTTTTTCTACTTTACACCTGTCAGAGAGAATGCTAAATGTAAATCAAATCAGGAACAAAGTACAACTGTACCAAACAATATCAAACAGAAGTCATGCACAGTATGTGTGGAAATGTGCTGTAAACCTCAATGTAGTTTTTTTTCTGATAAAGGATATTAAATACTTAATATTTTCGATTTTTGTAGTCTGGAGGAGTGTAGAAAACATCTATGAACAATTCGCTATATATACATTTTTGTGATTTTATACCAGCACATTTGAGACACATCAGATGATAGGGAGTCAGTAAAACCAGTGTATAATTAGGAACAAAACTACACCTGACCAATTTCAAATAAAATCCAAATTCAAATTAAGAAATCTTTCTAAAAAATTTCAAGAGATTTTACAAGGAAGAAAAAATTTAATCCTCGAAATTATAAAAATGATTTTAATGTGGAGATGAGAAAAGAGAGAATTAAACCAAGAATGAAAGAAAACCAAACCTAGAGAGAATGGAACTATCACATCCACAACAACAACCACTGACTCCCCACTTACGGTATGGTACTTTTGTAGGTAATCTCTTGTTTGTAATGAACGAGTAGTGGGCGTCGCCCTCTCGCTCAATGGCGGAGAGGTGCGCCATCTGTTGGCAATCGTATCAAGACTACCACTCCCTACCCGACTTTCCAGTTCTTCAGCTCTCTGCTCTGTGGTTTCTTTTTCTTCCTGGATTAACCTGAAATATCAATGATGAGAAATATATTTTTTGATTTTATGATATTCAAGGATACATTTTTCATTCTAAAAAAATTCTGATTAATATCAAATTCTTCTTAATACACACATGTATATTAGAGATAAATTTTAAGGAGTACGTTAAAATTGTTAGTTTAATCTTTCTCTTATTAGAAACCTTTTCCATTTTTGTGACTAGAGAAATGCCATAAATCTATTCCTTGAAAATTTTTAAATGAATTCTTAAGATTCCCAAACTCTACCTAATTTCATTATTTATTGCATCTAACTGCTCTTGGAGCATGAGTGCCAGGGTCTGAGCATCAGTGGGGCCGCTGGGGGACCACATATCGAATGCTTCAATCACGGACTCATTCTCACTTCCCTCCGTGTCACTGGCATCAAAAGCCTGCTGTAGTTTCTCCAGGATCTGGGCCTGCTTTAACTTCTCATGCTCCTGCTCATTCAGGGTGTTCACCTGGGGAAAAAAATTTACCTTATGAAAATAAAATTATTTGACCTTCAAAAATTAACAGATGATTCAAATTTCTCTTGTCTGTCTCAAAGAAGACTTTTTGACCTGTCTCTAATTTGGCAATCTACTCATTTTATTCCATAAATATAGATTTATCTTTAAAAACAAATTTCCTGTCAAATGGCCTGTTACAACCAGACTATTTAGGATTACAGAGGGAGTGGTGTATTGAGGTGAAGCATACCTTGGTTGGATCCTCCTCTAGAGACTGCTCTCGTCCCCTCTGTGACCTCCTGGTGACCTCGTCCATCGGACTTCTGATGACATACCCTGTACCCGGCCTGTCAACAAAATCATTCTCCGTTATCCAGCAGGTACACTCAATTTATTATTCTTTAACATTAAAGTAAGTCATTAAGATTAAGACGGATGCACTGTTTTTTATTTAGTCTGTACTAATGACAACAAATTACCTGGCAAGGTGTTCTATCTGCTGCCTGAGTGTGTCCACCTCCCTATTAGCACGAATCAAATCATCAGATATCCTCTCCTAAAACATTCCAGGGAAATTAATCAGCATAACATGGTTTAATATTACGTTGGAATTTCCCTCCTACTGGCATAAATTTAAAGGATAATTCTCATCAGTTTTTACCTTTTCTTGCTGAGTTTCGTCCAGAGCCTTGCGGATTCGTTCGAGTTCCTGAGTCAGCTGGTTTTTGTCCTCTAGAGCTCCCATTCGCTCTTTGAGATGTAGCTGTAGTCGCTCATTAGACTCAGCCAACAACTTGTCCACTGTAGCTGACAGTCTGGCATTGTGTTCTTCATTCATCTTCTCTCTCATTCTAGCCTGTAACACATTCAGTTACCGAATAACACTGTGTCAACACAATCTGTGACTTAAAACAAGCATCAGTAGAACACCCTTATTCATAATGAAATACATGTTTTCATTGGGCAGTCTTAATTTAATAGTCTGAATTTCTGCTCTGATTATTCTGAACTGTGAGAAAAGTATAGCTTGCACCTCTATATTTCTCTTGATAAGGATGACATGTAACCCCCTACCCTGGAGAGCTCTGCCTCGTTATCCTTCAGTTTCTGTTCTACCCTGGACACTCTCTCCTCCGCGGACCCGTGTAACTCCTCTGCTTTGTTCAGTGCCTCCATTCGCTGGGCCAGCTCGGCTTCCACAGTAGGCAGGGCCTCGGCCTTCTTTAGAGACTGCTGTAGCTTCTGTTCTGCCAGCTCCAGCCTCTCCTGTACCTGTCTCAGCTTCTCCTCAGTCTACAACGTATTTTAAATCATTTTAAGATACCATACTTCATTATACATATGAGGATTACCGAATGCAGGAAAATAATGCACTTGTAAATATTTGTTACATTTTATTCTTTATAAAAATGCAAAGAAACACAGCATAATATATATGTTAAAAGTATATTATTAAAATATACCAGTAATTTGTGCATGTATTTGCTCAAAATCAAACACAACTGATTAAATGTAAACTCCTCTTTAGTAGTGTTGATGGTTCTTCTACCTTTGTACATGTATGTTTCTTAACCAGATAGAACTTTACAAACTTTGCCTACGTGAGAGTAACTTACAGACTTGAGTTGGCTTTCCTTGGTGGCTAGTTCAGACTCTAACTTGTCATTCAGATCATGAAGTGATGTTGATTCCCGCTGAGCGTTTAAGTAACGTTTCTCTAACGTGGCTATCCTCTCCTCCTGATCCTCTCTCTGGGCCAGGGACTGTAAACAAAAAATCAGCAAATTAACTATCAATTAAGACAATTATATCTGAAATATGAAGTAAATTTTCAAAATAATTTTATCTAAAATATGCCAGGAATTTTAGTTTCCCACCTTGCCTTTTTTTTTGAGAAAGGTTCAATAATTTGCATTATCTATTGGTCGTTTAAATATTTCTTTATGCTTTCTAGTAAATGTACAAGATAAACATAATTCACAATATATTTCTCAAAAGTGTTCTGTGATTTAGAACTATGGTTTATCAGATGACCTTTGACACATTACCTCTCTGAGGTCTCTCTGTAACTTGACTAATTGTTCCTGAGCTTTGTTCAGATCTTTGGTGGCAGTGGTGGAGGTCTCCTCCAGCTCGGTGATTTTATTGGTTAATTCCAGTAACCGCGTACGCGTCGCTGTTAACTCGGAGTTCTGTTTCTCCACCGTGTCTTGAAGTTCGATGACCCGGTTAACCTCAGAGTCAGGGTCAATCGAGCCATTCGACAGCCTTTGCTGGAAAACAAAATATTAAACATATGTAACCATATCCTTGTAACATTATCTATAATGTGATTACCTAATTACCAAAATTTGGCAAGAACACCAACAAATTATAGACAAATCAATAATAAATTTTATTTACATATTTCAATGACTTTCGTTGACTTAGAACATAATGCATGATCCACAAACAATACAACCTTATATCTAAAGCAAAACTACCAGTATATCATTTCTGTGGACACTTTAACCCTTCCCAGCTAGGATGGTGAGGGGTGTCTCTTATTTTAGTTTTAACATACAATTTACCTGTACATTATGCCCCATTTCTGATGGTCAGTCTCTGAAGTTCATATATTATGTTTTAAACCTATGACATTTATATATTTCAGATTTTGAAAAGTCTTTTAGCTGATATGTTTTAAAAGTAAGGATTTAAACACAATGTGCCATGTGTATATGGTTTGAAAATAATAATTGTTTGCATTGACAGAGATCCTCTTGACATGTACATCTACTATCAGATATTGTATCTGTAAGATTTTGCGCTCTGACTCGTCTTGACATGTATATAACTGGTATTGGATACTTATATCCAAGATTCAGAATTTAGACCAACATGATGAAATTTCAACGAAACCAATGAAATTTCAATATTTTTGTAAGATGCAGCATAACTTGACATGTATGTCTGTATAAGACCCACCTTGACATGTATATCTGGTTATGGATTAAGGGTGAAACGTTTACTGAATTTTGACGTGTGTATCTGGTTTTGAGATATTTTTATGGGACTCGAATTTAATAATCAATTCTTTCACTTTAATATGGAGTTGTTATTACTGGTTTTAGAGAATTTGAGGCGCATTAAATTCATTCACTTACGACCTCGTCACCAACTGCTTGGTTTGTTTGTTTGACGTGAAAAAATAATTGTATGGATCTTTTAATCTCGAAAAAAGTAAAACAAAACCTGCTAACTGTATTGAAACTTTTCAAAGACTTGTGAAAAATGTATTATATTTATTTAATCAAAACATATCAAGTTTTATATATCAAGTGTCGTGAAACATCGCTAGTCTTAGCAATAGCAACGAAATGTATATCCGTATCGGGGATATTTTCATTCAATGTTTTTCCGGTTTAGATTGTTGCTTATCAAATGGTCAAATACGGTGTTTCTTTTGTAAGTTATAAAATAAAACAATTTGTTTGTGTTAAACTTTATTTTGACATTGATAATGACCTTCGTGTAAACGTTTACTCAAACTGTAAACGTTTAGAGCATATAATCGAAACGTCGCCGTTTACACGTGTAATCGTTTCGCCCTTATTATGGATATTGGTATACTTAGACCCACCTTGACATGGATATCTGATTTTGGATATTGAGGACCCACCTTGATGTGTATATCTGGTTTTGGATATTGAGGACCCACCTTGACGTGTATATCTGGTTTTGGATATTGAGGACCCACCTTGACGTGTATATCTGGTTTTGGATATTGAGGACCCACCTTGACGTGTATATCTGGTTTTGGATATTGAGGACTTACCTTGATGTGTATATCTGGTTTTGGATATTGAGGACCCACCTTGATGTGTATATCTGGTTTTGGATGGTCAGTCTCCTGAGTTTCATGCTTTAGGGGTTTTAGACTGTCCTCTGTACTCCCACTGGAATGTCGAGATTTACTCTGCTGTTCTCGTAATGTGAATAACTGCAACAAATAATAGAATTCATGATCATCAAATACTTATTAAAACCATTTACATGAACATGATGAAGCTATGGCAAAATTTTATAACATGAAAATAGAAATATTACATAAGCAATGTGTTAAGATAGACTTTCAAGAACTTAATAATAAATTAGTATGTGCAACAGTAAAACAAATATATGAAAAAAAAATCAAATAAAAATTTTAGCATTTGCATACATTAATTACAAAAGCCTAGGGGCCACATCACTCATCTGAGCACTGGCTAGGGAAAAACTTAAAACTTTGATTGATCATAATTGTGGCCCCACCCTACCCATAGGGGTCATGCCTTGAACACTCTTAAATACACACCATCTGAGGTTGCTTTGATATAAAAAAAGACCAATCATACCTTTGCTGTTCTTGAGAAGAACATTTTTCCTACATATTCCTAAGTAAAACTTTGATCGACCATTGTGGCCCTTCCCTAACTCCGTGGGTCATGATTTGAACAAATTTGAATCTACACCACCTGCTTCCATATAAATATGACCTATCATGGCTTTGCTGTTCTTGAGGAGAAGATTTTTTATAGATTTTCCCTATACATTCTTATGTAAATCTTTGATCATCCATTGTGTCCCTATCCTACCCCTGTGGTTCATGATTTGAACAAACTTGAATCTACACCACCTGAGGATACTTCCACATGAGTTTATCTTTCCTGGTCCAGTGGTTCTTGAGAAGATTTTTTTAAAATGCCATTAATTTTTCACTAATTCATAATTATCTCCTTTTGGAAGAGGGTGTGGCCCTTTATTTAAACAAACTTGAATCCCCTTCATCTACTGATATTTTGTGATAGTTTGGTTGAAATTGGCCCAGTGGTTCTTAAGAAGAAAATGAAAATGTGAAAAGTTTACGATGATAACAGACAACAGACAAATTTTGATTAGAAAAGCTCACTTGAGCCTTCAGCTCAGGTGTGCTAAAAATGTCTTATCAAAATATTACTTACATCAGAATTTGATTTGCTAGATTTAGCATGCTACAAGTAAACTCTAAATTTTTTAGCATATGAAACTTTGGAATAAATTTCATGAAATTCAAAAACAATACAAGCAGCACAAGGCTTTTCCTATTTTAAATGATCAGGTGTCTGCTTGCATGTTTCTAATGAAGCTATTTTATTTCTGATTTAAAAAATTCACCTAAAATAAAAACTCTGAACTAGAGAGTAATGCTCAGGTAATGATTGTCAGTAAAACACACCTCTTGATTGGCATTTGTTAACTCTTCTTCTAATGAGGCCACTTTTTCTAAAGCAACTCGAAGACGTTCTCGGACCTACAAAGAGAATAATACATGGAATTTAGCAAAAATGTAAGTAATTTAGCATAATCTGTTGTTCCTACAGCATACATTTCCCAATGAGTTTATTCTTAAAAAATTTAACTGAGGAATTCAAAATATGAATACATGAAAAAAATAAAATTATTTTTTTCATTCAAGAAAACACACAACGTTCACCAAAAAAAAAAAAATAAATAAATCAATCAATCAATCAAAATACTAGTAATATATATTTTAAATTTCTATGATATTATGATTTTATTTTTCCAAGAGTTGAACATGAAACATACTTTAAAAATAGTCTTACTATTCAAAACATGTACTTTACTATGCTTTCCTCAATATATACTTTCCTCTCTATAAAAGAGTAACAGATGGTATTCAGCAGAATGCTAAATATCATTACATCATATTGGTGAGAGAAAAAAACACCACACTGACTTAAACTATTTGCTCAAAGCTCTCTTTATAACAGAAAAGCAAGGACAAATATTGCTATCCGAATCCGAGAGACTTGGCCACAGGAATCAATTTTTCGGTGGGCTGTTGTCTCTTCTGTGCTGTCCATATATCACAATACCAGGCTCCTAATCAGGAAAAGGCCCAATTAAGAAGGCAGAAATCGGCCTGGGTCAATGGCACAATCATTGATTTTCCGAGTTATTTAATACAGACAAGCGCTCCCTCTAGGTGCCATTGCAGTCTTTTTTTTTCTGGGTCTGTCGGATTAGGAGGCTGATAATATTGTTTCATTACAGCTTGCCAATATTTTATCAAATAATTGATAGATAGCAGCAGTTATGCTTTACCATTTTTCTTTTATACATATTACGTAATCTTTCGGGTTCAACAATTACCAAGAACACAGAGATAACAGAAAATTATTTTCCCCCTTTATACCATGTAAAAGAGAAATCAATTTTTGTATCAGACATAGAGAATCGACACACAGTTACAAATTTGTCATGGGCCTAATCAGCCATATCAGTTCATGTTTCTTTCAATATCCATGAACATATTTAATATTTCAATATCTCAAAAATTCAAAATCGGATAAACTAAAAAGAAATTCTAACCTGAAAATGTAAAATCTACTACATTTGTAATAATTGGACTTGTATATGTTTATATTGATATTAAAAATGAACGATGTGACTGATATTCCTACCATTTTAGGACAACATACACAAAAAAAACTGGTCTTCATAATAAACCATGGCAGACATATCAAGTAATCAATGAAGCTGTTTATAAACTAAGGGGGTTTTGAAATGAGGGGTACATGTATAGGTGACCTGCACTCATTGTACATGTAATTAAATCTGTTTTCATCTGCAATTCACGGAAGTGTTACTGAATTAAAGTAGTCAGAAGCATAAAGAATATTTAAACATGGTCTGAATGATTATGGAAACAATGGGATGGGATTCTGCCTTAATCATCATTGTAAAGATCTACTGTATAAGCTGTAGGCCTTCTTGTCACCTTGAAACATCAGATGCAGCAACACCTCTCCCATCCTGGAATACCTTCCCAGATAATTTATCCAGCATAATAAAAGTCTTCTTTTTTTTTTATATCTAACGTGTCTATTATCGTATAAATAACAGGTAGTATGAAGATTTTAGCAATGAACAGCCACCTCAGATGTTAAATGTCACCTAAATCTAAAGTCAATTACATCTTGAACTGATTTCTCTTCTTCTTTTAAAATGTTGTTGGTCCCAGAGATAGACCTCCCCAAAAAATTGTAACCTTCATCACTCATTTGATAAATACAGGTTTAAAAGACAGTGTCTTAGGCAAAATACTCAAACACTATCATACATGTAGTTCTTGTTCAATGGACGTTCTCAAAAACTTATAACCTTGTTAATTAAGCTACCCACAGAATGTAAAACTTTTAATTATCTACCTTTTCTTCTTCAGTTTTTTGCTGTTTTAAAGATTTTTTTAAAAATACCATATGATTTCAGTTAATGTTGTTTCAGAAATGCTTCGAGTTCCTCTATTTTTATCAGTTAATAGATTTGATGGTGTTACCTTTTCGTCCAGAGCTTTGTGGTGTTCAAACAGAGACTTGAGGGCCTTCAGCACCTCCACTTCACTGGACACTCCCGCGGGGGACGAGGCCTGACGCTTGACCACGGTCATCCGGAGGGATCGCTCATGTCTGGATACCAAACACTCGAGATGTTCCAGTAACAACTACAAATACAGGACAGTGCACAGCTAATAAAATACATACATCCCGTATATATTGTATTTTTTTTGTTATGACTAAATCAGAGAGCAAAACATTCTTTCAAACATCTAACACACGGGTTGGGTTTTGAGATAAGGGATTTGTTTTTTTATCAAATGTATATATCTGAGACTTAGAATTTAGAGTGTTACTGTACTTTTCAAATAAAGCTTGTGCTGTATGGGGGAAGGAAGGGAGGAGTCACAGGGAATTGGGACATACTATCTTTCTTGTACATGTTCTTAAAAATAAAAATATCAAAATAATGCTGCCACCTTTCTCTATGACATCTATGTAGTCCTTAAGGAATAAAGGATACATCTCTAATTTTATTCACTGTCACATATTAGAAGATTTTTGCAAGACAAGAATCATTATACCATGTATGCAGGCCTTTAATGATTCTAAAAGTTAAAAAGCTCACTTTAACTTACATTTATTTTAAAACAATACCTAAAATCATATTTTCTTTTAACTGTTTCTGACCTTGTGCATAGTCAAAGTCTCATTATATAGCAAGATATTTATCTTGAAGCCGTAGTTCCCTAAAATGTTGATGTGTTCAATTCTTACACCAAAGAATACAGTCAAATTTTGACAAAGCGTTTTTACAACAAACACTGATGGAAAATACTCCTGGATAGTAGATATTAAAAAACACATATATAAATTGTAAATACCATCACTTAATATTAAAACAATTCACAGCTAAAATTACAGAAAAACACACAATAATTTGGTCAATGATTCTACATATACCAATACTTTACAGGCAAACATACTTACTTAATAAATTATAAACCTGCTTTTGATACTACCAATAATTTACAGACAAACACAATTACAATAACTTGATCAATGATACTACCAATAATTTACAGACAAACACACTTACAATAAACCTGTTATTGAAAATACCAATAATTTACAGGCAAAAACACAATTGTAAACCTGCTTTTGATACTACCAATACCCTACAGACAAACTAACAGTAAGCTTGTCTTTGATGCTATCAATAATTTACAAACACACTTACATTAAACCTGTCTTTTATACTATCAATAATTTTGAAATAACTCCTATTCATTGACTTTCCTTGTTTTCAGTCCACAGCTCGTAGTCTGAGGTCATGGTCACATGATACAGTGCTGGGTGGCCATTGTGGAGGTCTCTAACGGCCCAAGGGGGCTCACGGAATTCCCAGGCACAACTCCCAGATCAGAGAATCCCATTCAAATAAAACAGACTTCTGATGCAAATCAATCCATTGAAGCTACAACTCCTTACACACACAAATGTCTGTCAATTGCCTGTAATGATGCGAGGCAGGCATCTGTTCTAATATTGAGTCCATCTTTGGACCAAAGTCTCGTAACATTAGGCAAATTCAAATACCACATGCCATCAAATGCTAGGCTGCAATTTATAAAAGTACTTTTCATTTGAAAACTTCATTTTCCTCTGACATTCTTGTGCTGGAATTGATCTACATACTATATTACTAGAAAATTAGGCAAATACGATATATAGAGATCTTCAGAATTAAATTAGTAGCATGGTTTACATAAGTAAATGTGATTTAGCTAAAAAAAAAAATGCTTTCAGATTATCACAATTACAGATCAGATTATTACATAATTCATTATATGACTCATCAAACATTTTGTATAAAAATGATTAAGCAAGCGTACAATTCTGTACCACTGATCTGACAAGAAAAAAAATTGTGGTTCCGTACATCATGTTTTAAATAAGAAGCATCAGATTATTATTGAATAGAAAGCCCCCAGATCAAGAAATGATCTAAAAAATTCAGTATGTCAAAAGCACACATTTTCTTTGCATTTGTACATTACATCATCTGAACTCTCTCAAGAAAACGGCTATGCATGACAATAAAACATAACAGTCTTCCCTACAAATGATCTCCCAACTTGAAAAAAATCCATAATAGAAAATATAATACATCTCCCCAGCACATTTCTTCACAGACCAACATATTGATCTTAAAACTTGGGAATCTCTTAGTGTAAAAGCTGTGTTTCTGCAGATGCTATCATATGTTCAGTTTGAATTCATCTTCCCCAACTCTGAAAGCCTTTCTGGATAATTTATAAGATTGTATTAAAAAAAATCCTTTGACCTTGACTATAGGGTTTAACCTGTTTTATTGTAATCATTGATTTCCACACACTTTGTATTTGACAAGTTGAATCTTTATTAAGTTATAGGGATGATTCTGTGTTCAGAGAGTAAAAAAAAAAAAAAAAATGCCACTATGTAAACAAGTCTAATTAAGCAATGATTGATATTTAAAAGGATTTCATCCTATTAACTTTGTATGAATGATTTTAATCTTTTATTTCATGTTTACTGAACCCTTGTAATGATGGAATTCTTGTAATAAAACTGCTTCATATTTATGTATCAAATTGACAAAAAAGGAAAGAAATTGATATCAAAAATCAGCTGTTAAAGCTGTTTTATATCATAAATATCTGCACCCCACTATTTCTAGACACCCAATCCCACCCACTTTTTTAAACTCACAGATACATGCATTCCAAATAACAGTTAACTACTTTAAAACAAAATAAGAACATGACACTTTCTTGTTGCACCTTGCTTGTGAAAAATGTGGCCATATGTTTAACTGAGGAGATAATTAATAGTTAAAACATTGCAACACCTGTTTACGCTCTGGTAACATCAATTTACTTAAATTACACTAAACTTACACAACACATTGCCAAGCATGTTTATGTATAAAAAGAGATACATTTAAAAAACTGATAGGTATGCGGTTATGAGTTGGTCAGAGAACATATAGCAAATATCTTTTGGTTGGCCTAATCCAAACATCATTGATCATCATTTATCTAAAACATTTAGAAAACACAGAAATCCAATAAAACACTTTTTAAAAAGCACAAACAGCGTAGCAAATCAAAAGAGCAAGAAATACTGATATTATTTTCACATCAAGCGTCGGTAAACAATGGAAGAGACAAAGTAATGTGAAAGGAAAACAAAATTTTTTTTAAAAAATGAATTTTTAAATAGCCCATTCAAAATTTGATAAATTCTTAAAAGTAACCAGCTTCCATAAAATTTCAGGTTTAGAACCTACTTAATCTACTGGAAAGTTTGTTATAAATTCTGGCAAGTTCATTATAACCAGATTTATCTGTATACCAAATGAATTACATTTCTACAACTACTAATTCAAGTATACAAAATTTTAAGTTCTTGTTTTATAGTATGATATCTGTCAAGAATTTGCAACAACAACTTATTAGCAATTCTTGAGTGAACTGCTACAAAATTATCCCACCCACCTTATACTTACAAAAGCAAACGATTAATTTACTAAACAAATGGTGTATTATACGTTATTTTTCTACATAGATTTTAAAGATGAAATACCTACTCCTTTTTGTAAACAAATGTTCCCTGACCTTAGTCAAATTTTTAATTAGTCACAGATTTAGTAGTTATATTTATACTTTAATTGATGTCCTTAAAGATAGCATGCCACAACTGAGGATGTCTTCAAAATAATAAATTTCGTCTTCAAAATAGCCTAAACTTTATCTAAAGTTATCCTCAAAATTATACTGTAATACAGATTACTTTGTAAAATATGTCATTGACTTACAAAATTGATAAGCATAAAAGCAGGGCTTCTAAGTACCATACAATAAAGGTATAATGCTGTAAACTATCAGCAGAGTAATTAATGATGTCCTTTGGAGAAATAATAAATGCTAGACATCATAGCATGATTTTGTTGTTTGCACATTTCGTTTTAAATGTGACACTTTAACGTGGGGTGTTGGGTGTGTGTGTTTGTGTGTGGGGGAGGGGGGGGGTGTATACACACCAGCATGACAACACTTGACCTACCCTAGTGTTATTTCTCTCTGCCTTTAGTTCCGCTACTTCTTCCTCCCTTTCTAACAGCTGATCTCGTAGCTGGTTGACCTCTTTTGACAAACTGGCAAATTCCTGCTGTAAAAAAAGTGAAAAGTTCAACTGACATGTTACATTTTCAACTCATTTTAAGTTTGGTTTTTGTCCAATACAGTTTGTATAACTCATTATTTTTTCTAAGAAGTACTGTCATCATGATTATAAAAATGAAAAGACGTCTTTAAAAATATATATTTTTTTTGATTTATCAAATTAACTGACAAATATCAGTATATTATAAGTTGTGTTTAGTACACAATCAGGCAAAAATAAAAGGCACTACTTTTAAATAAAAGTATATGTCACATTTTTTATCCCAAGTATCAAACTTCTAGTTTGAAAGCAACATACAATGCTCTCTTTTTCAATATGTAAAAAGAAAAATTATGTTAAAGGCAAAATTTAATTTAATAGAAAATATTTTTGCAAAATTCGAGTTCACTGCATTCGCAAAAATATTTTTCTTGAAAATAAATTCATAAGAAAATCAGTCATTCGCAAAATTTAGAAATAAAAATTAATCAACAGCATTTTGACCCGATTATAAAATGAAATTTCAGATTTTCTCAATTATCAAGAAGAGTATTTTACTACAGAATACTATCTGCTCCCATTTTTAACATACCTCATTCACAAATTTTGTATCAATAGACAAGATAGATAATGTGAATGACAGATATTATCTACCTTTAAAGAAAATTTACATGGTCTCAAATTTAAAGTACTAAACTAAACATTTTACAGATATTTGTGCAAGTCATATTTCTGGAAGTCAGACCAAAAGAGAATTCTTAAAATAAAATATTAGGATTGACTGTGTACATAAAGCTTTTTATGGTACTATACTTTCTGAACATTGTTTGTTTTTGTATACCGGTGGACATTTAAAACCCACAACACACAGGTGACATAACTGACTATCAGTACATCCCGAGGCTGCTTAATGTATTTAAAATGGCGTCTGATTTATTCGGAATCCCCAACCGATGATGTCAGTGTTGGCTGCATCATAAAATAGGCAACCCCCCTGACCTCAGGGGACAAATACCTGAGGTGTAGTGGTCTGATATTGGCCCTGTAGGGCGTCTCGTTCTTTTTCCACGTCGGCGAGTTTCTGCTGGGTTAACGTTAATGTGTCCTGAGTCTCGCGAAGTGTTTCCATCAATTTATCTCTCTCATCCAACATGTTCACCATCAGCTGCTCGAAGTTAGCCTCATCTTGCGAACTCTGAGACTCCCGGTCATTAGAACCGGACTCAGAAATCGTAGGCATCACGTCGCACATCATATTGATGATTTTACATTAGTCATCAACGACATGAACCCCAAAACAACATTGTTTATGATAGCATCCCGTGTAAAATGCCGGCAATACTTCATTCACCTCGAGATTCACAAGAAAATTGATCACTCTGCCTATCTAAAATGAAATGCGCATATTTCCGTTTAAACCTTTTCACTGAAAACTTATCAAAGTCCTTCATATCAAACGCATTTGAATTTCCTATCAGCATCATTTACATGAATGGGTGCCATCTTTCTTTCAGTCGAAGTGTGTCATTACCCACAATTCCATTGCAAAAAAATCAAAGGGAAGCAACTCATTTTTTATTTCAACGCTTAGTTTTGTTTTGTTTTCCCAGTTGTTGCTCTTTGTACATCGTATCCATTAAAACTGAAATTTTACATTTATTTATTTATTTATTTATTTATTTATTCATTTATTTATTTATTTATTTATTTATTTATTTATTCTTATATAAATCTTTTTATTTATTTTATTTATTTATCTAGTAATTGCCTTTTTCAATTATTTGCCTAATATTAAATAAATATTAATTGATTTATTTTCTTTGAGACATCCTCAAGGCATGATCTTATTTATCTTATTTGATTTTTAAATATTATAAATTATTGAAGTATTCAGGTCATTGTTTTCTTTTATTGTGAAAAAACGAGGTGGATAAATAATTAAATAAATAAACAAACAAACAAATAAATAAATATGGACGGGAAAATTTTGTGAAGATAAAGTTTGAAATTAAAGTCTTGATTGTACTGCTGTTTTTCTTTTCTTTAGATATTGTAACGTATACCCCTGCGTAGGGTTCTTATAGGGAATGAATTTTTCTCTTACTCTATCTGAGTATTTGATCTAATGATTTAAATATTTACAGTATAATAATTTTTCTTTAACCTATCTAGGTTTTTCTATTGTTTCTTTAATTACAAAATATACAATAAATAAAACAAAACAAAACAGATCTACAGCTCCCAGTAAGAAAATTTATTCTTGACACTGGTGCAAACCTATTTACCCTTTACTCTTTTCTTTCTTCGGCTTACCAACAGCCGATCGGCATCAGAACTAACTTAATCTCTGAGAGTGGTCTATCATATACCCTTTGGTCTAGTCTATTTCAAGGGATTGCAGGCTATTCTATTTAACCTTGATTCTTGGTCCTCTTTGGGGTTTTAACTTATCATTACAATATTAAAATGTTTTGAATTTGTAGACGTAAAAAAAGTAAAAAGTCAAACTTTATATGGTTTTAGTAAAAGAATTGTGTGATTGATGTAACTCCTCACCAAATTCAAGTTAACAACACAAGAGAGTGGTTCCATACCCGAGAAGATCTACACTGCTATTTCAATGACCGAGAGAGAGCGAAAATTTTAACTAGTGAATTTCCTCTAAGAAGTTAATAAAAAATTACGAAGCATTTTTTTTTTCAAAGTAGACCAAAAGAGGAACACATTAAAAAAAAAAAGTGAGATCCTCTGCTCAATTTATGCCCCTTCTCCTTTTAGGGAGGAGGCCTCGATATGCCCTTCAACAATGAAAGAGGGGGAAACCCGCATATCAGTTCTATTCCGGTAACCGAAACGACATAGTTTCAAACCGAAACCGGAAGAACCATCCAAGCAACATTTTTGTTTATTTGGCTTGTATTTTAATCATGAGTGCTATCAGACTTGTAGGGTTATTGACCGGAAGTGTTGGACTTGTGTGGATATATAGGAAAATCCAAAGCAGACAAGGCATACCAACAGACCCGGCATCAACACCTGATGATGCAGAAGGAACCGAAAACGCACCAATCTCCATTCCCAGCCTCTGCGCGAAAACGACCTGGACACCGACGCGTGTCCAGTGCTGCTGCCAAGTCTGGAATTGCCAAGGGAGTCAATGTTAGACGGAGTTGTTCTTCACGTGGAGGATGACGGCGATCGAAGTAAAGCGAAGAAGTTTTGTGATTTTGTCAGCACGGATTCAGATTACAGAGTGGGCCTTTATGACGAGCTCGGAATGGGAGAGACACTACTCCGGATTCCTGGTGAAGTGGTGTTCAGTAAGGCAATATATTTATTTGTTCTTGTTACACCACTGCTGAATCAAGATAATCTGACCCGAATGTTAACTGAACTAGGAATCATCAAATGTTTAGATTCAAACCAATTTCGAGTGATACCGATTCTGACAAACAGACACGCAGACAAAAACAAGCCAAGTGAATTGAAAGCATTGAAAGGTGTCCGGTGTTTTTGGTTGGACTCGGTCACACCCGGAGAAGACGACCATGATAAACAGAGAACGAAAAATTGTCTAAACCGCTTGTTTCAAGAAGGAAGACGGAAATTTTGCAGAAGCCAACTCCTTGATGACTAAAACTGTCACTACCAACTACCAGGCTCTGTGATGACCAGAACCTTTTGCAGGACAGACGGTTGAAGTTGTCCAGGGGTTGTATTTACCGAAAAATTGACTCAATTCAGTCAACCCGACTGAAGTAAGTGCCATTTATGGTGACCATGCAGAGTCTGCTGTTTATCAGATGATTTAAATACGGTGCTAACCTGAAGGTTGAACGCAACTCACGTCAACCAGAAAATGATAATGCCAGAACTTGGCAGAAATTGGCGTCCTATGCATGCACAAAACCAGAGAATAGTGCAACATTTGTGAATTGTGAGAACCTTAATTTTATAACTAATAGAAAGACAGTAATGGTAGTTTTTATGCTCAATCCAAGTGTCTTGTGTCGTTGTGAAAATTGATGAATAGTTTACCGTTGGAAAGGTCATTAAGTTGTGAAAAGATTTTATCTTGCAGCAGTCACATTTTAAATATTGAATTGATATGTTTGAACCTTTGTACTTTTGTGCACAAGGCATGACTTGTAATATTCTGAGTGAAATAAAGCATGATGGCATATCCAAATTTGTTTAAAATGCTTTTTGAATCGGCTAAAAAAAGATTATTTCATTTAATTCAAAGAAATATTGCCAAAGAATAGGTGGTGAGATTATTCCTGCAAAGAAATATTTCTATAAGTTATCCGAAATATTCAGAAAAAATGCAGTGTCACCCCTTGGTAGTCTATGGAGGGGGGTTAGTATTTGTCGAATGCTTTTAATATACATTAGTTTAAAGATTCTACTCAGGACCAGTTAGAGTTCAAGAACAATGTTTCTCACTATGAAAAAAAAACTTAGACAACATTTCAAATGTCAAGTAAAGATGTTTCTTGAATATTGGTAATTCAAGTTTATTCTTGAAAGAAATTGCTCCAAATTGTGTGTACAGGAGTTACCGACCTTATATTTCTCTCCAGTATTCTGTGTACAGAAGTTACCGGCATTAAGCTTGTATTGTAGTTCTCTTTTGCATTATTTGAATGATGGTCAGTCAGATAATTAGCCTCAAGAGACAGCAGCCTAAAATTCAATCAGACACAGCGACTTCCAATTATTTTTTCTCAGAAATATCCACGTTTTATCAGAGGATAATAGTTCCTGTCTTTCGTTTGTCGGCTCGGTATATTCCAGTATACAGTATACCGGTAAACTCGAATTTAAGTAAAGGACATCACAGAGTCGTCCACATCTGTTTCATATGTTACACAAACTCAAATATAACAAATGTAGGCACGTTAGGATCAAAACACCCATTAATCTTTTGTAAAGATAGAAAAAACATCCGTTTTATATCGAATTCTATTATATCCTAATTCTTAAAACAAAAATTCAGTGTAAAAGTCAGTATAATTTTAATTCTTCCTTGATAAACATGGTTTTGGTGCAAAGTGTTGTCGAGTAGGTGTGTGCTCCTACAAATTAAGAATTCAACAACCTTTGTTTTTACAAAATATCTTTTACTTCCTCTGTGAACTTCTTTCTGTGTTTCATTGAAAAAAGAACATGAAGGTAATCATTGTATTTTGTTCCGTCGCTGTTAAAAAAGGCCCTTACTAAACATGGTAAGTCACTCGCAGATGTCAAGACAGTCCTAACCTATACCTGGTAAGTCACTCTCAGATATCAAGGCAGTCCTAACCTATACCTGGTAAGTCACTCTCAGATATCAAGACAGTCCTAACCTATACCTGGTAAGTCACACTCAGATATATAGACAGTCCTAACCTATACCTGGTAAGTCACTCTCAGATATCAAGACAGTCCTAACCTATACCTGGTAAGTCACTCTCAGATATCAAGACAGGCCTAACCTATACCCGGTAGGTCACTCTCAGATATCAAGACAATCATAGATTATTAGATTATACCTGGTAGGTCACCCTCAGATATCAAGAAAGTCCTGACCTATACCTGGTAAGTCACTCTAGGATATCAAGACAGTCCTAACCTATACCTGGTAAGTCACTCTCAGATATCAAGACAGTCCTAACTTATACAGGGTAGGTCACTCTCAGATATCAAGACAGTCCTAATCTATACCTGGTAGGTCACTCTCAGATATCAAGACAGTCCTAACCTATACCTGGTAGGTCACTCTCAGATATCAAGACAGTCCTAACTTATACCTGGTAGGTCACTCTCAGATATCAAGACAGTCCTAACCTTTACCTGGTAAGTCACTCTCAGATATCAAGACAGTCCTAACCTATACTTGATAAGTCACTCTCAGATATCAAGATAGGCCTAACCTATACCCGGTAGGTCACTCTCAGATATCAAGACAGTCCGAGATTATACCTGGTAGGTCACCCTCAGATATCAAGAAAGTCCTGACCTATACCTGGTAAGTCACTCTAGAATACCTGGTAAGTCACTCTAGGATATCAAGACAGTCCTTACCTATACCTGATAAGTCAGACACAGCGACTACCTGGTAGGTCACACTATGATATCAAGATAGTCCTAACCTATACCTGGTAGGTCACTCTCAAATATCAAGACAGTCCTAACCTACACCTGGTAAGTCACTCTTAGATATCAAGACAGTCCTAACCTATAATTGGTAAGTCACTCTCAGATATCAAGACAGTCCTAACCTACACCTGGTAAGTCACTCTTAGATATCAAGACAGTCCTAACCTATAATTGGTAAGTCACTCTCAGATATCAAGACAGTCCTAACCTACACCTGGTAAGTCACTCTTAGATATCAAGACAGTCCTAACCTATAATTGGTAAGTCACTCTCAGATATCAAGACAGTCTTAACCTTTACCTGGTAGGTCACTCTCAGATGTCAAGACAATCCTAACCTATCGATGGTTAGTTACTCTTAGATTTCAAGACAAATCTAACCTATCCATGGGAAGTCACTCTCAGATGTCATATATGACATATTTTTTCTCTCATAAATTTGGGTTTACCCGTCCTAATCTTGCCGAACTTTCATACTGTATGCGTTTAAAAAAATCCTATTCATATACATTTGTATTTATAAATATGCGAAGCAAGTAATTATTCTGATAAATTATTTGCCCCTGGTTACTTAACACTGCATGCTTTAGTATGAGAAATGATAAACATTACCTACCTGTACTTCTACTATTTAACATTCTTACGACTCCCAGTGATACTGATCAATAATAAGGAGAACATAAAAAGATAAATAGTTTATGGCAATGTATACGATATGTTCTTATCGAACTAAGGAAGGGTATCCATTGCAAACACAAAACTATATTTTTCTGTATGTCTACTGTTAAAGCGCTTGCTCTTTTGCTGGATTGACTTTGGGGTAAGTCTCCATTGTTTTAAATATATATTTCATATATCAAAAGAAGAAACAATTTCTCTCTATAGTCCTTTTCCAATACTCAGTCAAGATCATGGCGCCTTCATGTCACCGTGTATAACATCCAGTTATAAACAAATAAGACTTACAAGTATTCAATAATTCTAGCAATGCACGTGGGCATATGTATAAGGCACCAATTAACACCAAGATGATTTCAGTTGTTTTAGACTGTTACGTTAAAATCTTCCTTCATCTATATAATCTGCTTCTGGAATTACATATTTTCACGATTAAAACTAATGTCTTTAAAAATTTGACAAAAAAGGTTAGGTCGTGTAGATGATTCAGACTTTTTCCCTGAAGTCATGTAAGGAGTGTATGTGAATGTTAAAACGAGCAGCCTGGGTTACCTGCCCATTAATACTTTTACGAACATCCCGGTTTAATAACCAAAATAATTTTCACATTTATTTCAATAATTTCAGTGTTTTTGCTTCTTTGATTGAATGATTATATGATACGCCTGTTCACTTTACATGCTAAAGGCAATTTTTAAATAACCCAGACCATTTTTACGACCTAATTTATTTTTACAACTTGACGAAGTTTTGTTGCATGACGACACTCCAGGTAATTTGTAAAAATTCCCAGGCAGCCAAATCTCTACCCTGTTGGATTTTTCACCGGTAAACATGAAGGTAAGACCATCCTTTATTCTTACAAAACTACACTGAAAGTTTGAAACTTCATTCGATATCACGATTTTAACCAAAAGTACAATTTACAGTGTTCATAACAAGGACAGTAAAGAAGGGTTTTGGTGAACATCATTCATGCATTGGTGAATCCCGAATGGAATTCTGTTTCAACACTTCCTGGTTCTAATCAGAATTTTGTATTTTTTGTTTTCGTCGCATAAAATGTAACGTAACAACATTCTATACGGGTAGCAACTGGCAGCTAGGCTATAGATATGTGTCATACAGATGTATGTTACACTTTTAAATCGTTAGAACATGTTTTTACTTAAACTAGAATAGTATCGTTTTCCCAGCTCATTCAATCAAATATAGGTCTATTTCAACTTTTCGTTGGATTAAAAGTAAACAGACATCAACACTGTTTATGTTTAGGATTGCATTTCAGAGAATATCTCCAGTGTCCATTCTAATAACTGCATGTATAAAGATTTTCAAAACAAATTTAAATAGACTCATTGCAATGTCTATTCTGAATGCTAATAATATAAAGAACAATAAATTTATAAATTTAAAAGGAAGCAATGCATTGTCTAGAATTAATTTAAAACATCTTAAATCAATGCATTATTTTAAATTCTATTCTATCGATAATGACCATTGCTTTATATTCTTCAATTACCATTACCTTATTTTATTCCGTATTCACTATATTGAAATTACTATTTTATTCAATATTCACTAAATTTAAATTACTTTATTTCTTCATTATTCACTAAATTGAAATTATTTTATTCTCTTTAACATTCACTAAATTACATATACCCAATTTTCTTTAGTATTCACTAAATTACAATTACTATTACCATTACCATGGTAATTTAGTAATAACTCAAGAAAATAGTAATTTTAATTTAGTTCAAGTACTGAATGACAATGACAATGATTTATTCTCTTAAATGTACAAACATACATTGTAGAGAGGAGGTAGGAAAAGATACAAACACATAGAAAAAGAATATAATACATGTATAATAAACAGTACAAAATATCACGTTAAAGTTCAAGTCAATTATTTTCATCTAAAAGAGGTAGAGCCGCTTTGGGCCTTATTTGGCCCTGAGAATTTCTGAAATGCAAAACTGCTCAGTTTAGGTTGCAAATGCTTTATTTATAACTTGGACTGTTGGTGACCACGTATCTATTAATTGTGACGTAAATTCACATCTAGTCAATGCATTATGACGTCATAAAATGCGTCATTTTCCTCATATCCTGTAAATTCCTTTGAAAATGACCTAAAGTTGAAGCGTTTTTTCAATATTTCATATAGAGCACAACCTCTGATCCAAAATATGCCAATACATAATGAAAGGTCTATTTCAAAAGATCAAAAAACATGTTTAGTTTTTGGATCGTGGGCTGTGCTCATATTTTAATTCTTTGCTGAAGGTAGTCAAATACGCATATTTCTGCAAATTTCAACAACATTGCAATTTCTCAAAGCCTGTTTTCAAATATTTGGATTCTCAAAACGAAATTTCATTATAGAACATGAAAGCACCAAGTGTTTAATTATTTTGATATATGAAAATGGAAAGAGGGTGATAATTAATTAATTGATATAAGTACAGGGCCATTTTATGCATAAGATGGCTCTTGCTCTTTGTTTGACAATTAATAAAAAATTACATAATTTTTTCAATGCTGGACAGTTTGTTGTTGTAAAAAGTTGCTTAAATTTCTCTATATTTGGTCTACATGTGAGAGAGTTTGAAATATATTTTTACCTAGCCTCTTTAATTTCTTTTTTTGTGCATTCAAAAACATAATGGAATTCATCAACAATCTTATAAAGATCACATAAAGTACAAATCCTTTGTTCTCTTGGAAAACCATTCCATCTCCCAGTTTCAATAGGGAGTTTAAAGTTATTACATCTAAATCTACATAACAAAATTGAAAATTTTCTAGGTAGATTAACAAGATATCTTTCTGGTTCTAACATTTCTAAATAAATACGGTAATTTACACCCTTTGAAGAGTTAAAAACATTACTTTGCCAGTTTTGGATATTTTGGTCAACAAGCATTCTTTTTATTTCATTTTTCACCCATGCTACACTGTACATCTGTTGTGTTGTCCATAAATAAGATAATTCCACTGAAGAAAATAAAATAATGGTAATGTACTAGTGATTACTGAAGACAGTGAAGTGATGATAACGTAGTGATTACTAGAGAAAATAACATTTATTTTCAATCAAAGTGAGTATACTTAAACTTGGACAGTGATTTCCATGCTACATATTTACAATATTATAATTATAATGCAGTCTTTTTTTGTTGTTGCATTATATATTAAATATATATTATATATACTAAAATTACCTTGAATGAAAGTACTGTAATGCATTATTATTACATTTAGCAATTTTCTAAGTTTGACACTGTATCGCTCAAATTGTAAATAAAATCAGAGGTTTATAATTACATGTATAACAAGAATCATCTTACTCGTATTTCCATTTTTATTCTTTCATTCATTTTTTAACGCATCTCCAAAAATAATTTTCAATCCTTTTTTTCCATTGGATTTGAACTGAAAAGTGAAAATAAGAGCAATTTGAGTTTTTTATTCTAATTTGTTTTTATTATAGAAGAAAGATCAGAAGATAAAAAGACACCGTCAAATGCGAAAGGTATTACCTGTACACTCGTATGGATCATGGGGGTGATATAATTATTCATTATCTATGTATCAACTTACCAATGAGACTGCAAGGGTACAAGGATTGAGAACAAGAGAAAGCGAGAGAGAATGTGTGATTCAGTTTAGATTTTGACTTAAGTATTTAATGATAAGACTGATGTGAATTTCCAGCTTTTATTTTGTATGACCCTAGGGAGTAAAGAAGAGACAGGAAGAAACAGATATTGACCCCGAGAATCCAGAGGAAATCGAGGTATATTTACATCCATTTTTATTGACCTTCAATTTTGAAAATTTAATTACGATTGTATATCTTTCTAATTTATTTTAAATTGAAAATGGTTTTAATCTTTTTAAAATGGAATTTATTTTAAAGACGTTGAAATGTTAGTGGTTTTCAGCAGAATAATTAATTTTGCAAAATTCTACTGACAACTTAAGTTTTTGGTCTTATAATTTAATCAGTCGCACATTTTGTGACTTCTAATGTAAAACGGGTATACCGTCTATGCCAATGTTATGTGGTGATTCGCAGTTAAGGAATCATAAGAAAAGTTGGAGAAAGAAACAAAACAAAAGAACTGAATGCTCGTCTAATATTTTTGTACATTATATTTATATACTTTGAACATTTTGGAAATTTGGAAATATATCTATATGTAAAATGTTTTGGCGGTCTGTGTTTGCTTCGCTCCTATTTTGTAATGTTTAATGGACTTTTGAGATTGAATCCTGTTCGTTATCTACACGTATTATGAAACTATATTTTCGCAGAAACTGAATGATGAACTTAAGTATCTAAAACATTACTTACTAGCATTAAAAACTTTCGATAATGATTACAATATTTTCTTAGCTGTAGCCTACGAGAACTCTCGGGCTGTTCAGTTACATGTAATTCTTAAAATAAATAATTATAATCTTTTCAATCATCACATACCTTTCTTGAAATTTCATGTTAAGGGGGCCGACTATAGTTTCCATTGCGCAATATTTCGCGCATCATAGTAAAATGAAGCGTATTTACTGTTTTAATGCAACTTTTTTCACCTAATTATTAAAATTAAACAAAATTAAGAAATTATAGATATAAAAATGTAATTACAATTTGATATAACTGATTTTTTAACCGATTTTGCAATTGATAGGTAGGTTGACGTCGTTGCAGTGTGTTTTTGACGTTATGATAATCTGTAGCTCTTAAAGAAAGGGGTAATAAAAATATTATTAAAGAAAAAGTAATAAACATACGCTCTTGAAATTTAAAACATGGAAATTTGAGAATATCTACAATATTTGTATTATGTTTTCATTTGAATCCATTGTCTACGTCATATTTTGTAATACTCTATAAAAATAGTAAAATTTGCTAATTTTTGGCATTTTGAGATGCCCCCTCTGGTAACAAGACGGTAGAATTTTGTGTTTCTTACATATATTGTATAATATAGTATTACTCATCAAATATTATAGTTTGAACAAAATGTCTATTGTAGTATTTGTATAATTTGCTTTAAAGTGCTAAAAATTGGCATATTCCTATATAATCCTATAGTAAATGTACCTGTATTTTGAGACGGTCCCTCAAAACTACCTGGACGATAGATTTCCCCCAAACTTTGCATGTACACTGATGTTAATGTAAGTTATATACAGTATAAAAATGAAGAGTTTCGCTATTGTAGTTTTCACACAATAAAACTATAGTCGGCCCCCTTAAATCAAAACACATAAATTCTCAAGTATTCAAATAGTTTTATTGTATAGTAATACGAAAAGTCATTTCCTACAGAAGATGCAATGTAAAGAACAATTCAATATTTTTGTCTTGGGAAACTTCCATAAAAAGTAAAGCTTATTCTCTCTATATATAGACATGCATCCTGACGGAAGACAAAAGATGTCGAAGCCTAGAGAATCTACAACATCACGACGAAGAAAGAAAAGAAATGAGAAAAATTGTGAGAATGAACAGCATTAGGAAGACTAAGAGCGTGGACGATATTTTACGTGAACAACTCGATGAGGTAACAGAGGTCATGCAGCAAAATATCATAAAACTTCGGGATCGGCATGGCAGTCTAGACGATCTTCTTGACAAAGCGAACATACTGACTGGCTCGGTAAGACAAAAACAAACAAACAAACAAACAACCCCCACCCCAAAAAAAAATAGGTATTCGTCACATCCGGTGACGTATAACCTTTAAGTCCTCATGCTTTTTTTTTTCAAATTTACACTAAAAAACTTAACCTTCTTAAAGAATCTTACTTGTACCAACTGATTGCCTTATCTTTGTAGGCTGTAGAATTCAAGATCGTGAGTAAAAAGGTCAAACAGAAAGAGAAGTTGAGGATGTGGAAGTATCGTATCCTGGCAGGAGTAGCAGTGGCGGTTGTTTGTGTGGTGTTGTTGGTGGTGGTGTTAGCGGTGGTATTTACACAGCAAGACGATAAATCACCACCTCCCAATATTGTGTTGATTTCTAACCTGAGTCGGATTTCTGGCTCCTTATAGCAACTACCTCATTGTGTGTATGCTTGTGTAGTGTGTGAGATGTAAGAGAGTATGTTTGTGAAATGTCAAAAAGATTGTTAACACAGATTGTGACAAGAAAAAACTTAATTGGTGGATGTGTATGTGAGCTTGTCACTTTTTTAAGCAATGGTATTTAAAAGCGCAACACCCCCCCCTAAAACCCCCACTATATACATCATAATAGTGGGGTATTTTTTGTGGAGCGATTATTTTGGGGTTTTGACGATTTTTTCATATTGTACACATGATGAATAAGTGTATTAGATATAATTTGTGAAAAAAATGTCCAATATGCCCTGGGGTTGAATATGGGGGGGGGGGTTCTGTCCACAAGTACCTGTGATTTAAGACTGTTTAAATTAAAATTATGTTGTTTAAGTTTTTTTCTCATGTTTTTAAAGTGTTTTTAACCACTGAAATATGCTATTTGTTGTTGTTGATGTTTCAATTCTCTAAAAGGTGGTCACTTAAACATTTTTATGAGATTATTATTTGAAGTAAAATGTATTAAGTTGAAATAAATGTTGTTTATTTTAGCTTCGTTCTCATCAATGTATGACGGTCGATAATCTTACAACATGCATTTCTTCGTTTACATTGTAAATACGTGCTCGACATTGCTCGTCATGTTCCAATAAATTGTTAGAAAAAAGCACACTAAGTTTCCAGAGCGTCGCCCCTCTCATTTACACGATATTTCTACAAAATAAAACACTTTCTAATTTTAATCACTGTTCGCTATCTTCACTTCTTCCATTTGGAATAGTTGAAGGACCTCAAGTAATCCTTTAAAAAAATTAGCATTGCTTTCATTTGATCCTTTACTTTTATGCTCGAGGACTCTGATATTGTCTATCATCTACATATACCGGGCAGCCAGCGGACACCCCTATATACCATGTCTAATCTAAACATCTTAAAAATGGTCTCTCTGTCACTGGACGATACAGCTATACTGGCAATAATGGACATTTTGTCCCACGGCTTATATCTGTCTTTTGGTATATATACCCAATAACTGTACGCTCTCATTAAAAGGTCCAGTTTTCCCTAGAGACAGAACAAGTCATTTTATTTTTGCTAATCTGTGGCCATGGCGAAGTCTCTTCTTATCGTTGTGACTGTCTGTCTGACTGTACAGTTTTATGTCGTCTCGTCGTTTGGTAAGTAATCTATTTGATCGATCATGTTTAGATTAACGGACAATTAAATTTATCATTGATATTCGTATTTTCATTGTGTAAGACAATCGCTCATCTATCCTATTCTATTTACATGGATTGGTCTGGGATTTTTGATTGGAAAGGGATTATAATCAAGTTAAAAAAATTTCCCTTTTTTTTTTTTTTTTTAAAAAGAGTAATTATGTTCCCCAAACGAAGTTGGGGAACATATTGTTTTTACTCTGTTTCTTATTATGTTCCCCAAACGAAGTTGGGGAACATATTGTTTTTACTCTGTTTTTTATTATTATTATTTTTCTTCTTCTTCCTGGGTACTTTTTTGTCCGCGAGTGATCTTGTAAACTGTTCACCCGAAGTAGGTAAAACCTTTTTAGGGTTAGTAGACATGTTATGTAGATTTGCGGAATCAAGGTCATTTTCCGCGCACGTGCTTGCAAGAGCGTGCACGTGCAACACTTGAAATGACCAATATAATAGATATAGCCGTAACTTTTCTATTTTTTGACTATTTGCTTTGAAACTCATAATATAAGTATATATTAGTTCTATAGGCATGATGACATGTTCCTCGCGCACGTGCTTGCAAGAGCGCGCACGTGCAACACGTGAAATGACTAATATAATAGATAAAGCCGCAACTTTTCTATTTCTTGATGAAATACTTTGAAACTCATAATATGAGAATGTATTAGTAGTATAGACATGATGACATGGTCAAAATAGCAAGATCTTACGCGCATGCACGTGCGCTTCGCTCTGATTGGCTGAAACTAAAGTCTCAATATTTTTCATGTTTCTTGTCATAATCTTTTGAAATTTTGAACAAAGTCTTAAATTATGAAGATCTACAGCATGATATATAAAACTTTTCATGAAAGCATGCGCATGCGTGCGTGCTGCAATCTGATTGGCTGAAAATTTAAATGGCTATATCTCCTTTGTTTTTTGACGAAATGCTTTGAAATTTAAAACATAGTCATGCAGTAGGATATCCTACAATACGATATAGAAAGAAAATCATGAAATCACGCGCATGCACGTGTGCTGCAATTTGATTGGCTGAAACTTTAAATGGCTATATTTATTTTGTTTTTTGACGAAATGTTTGGAATTTTAAATATAGTCATTCATTAAGATATCCTTCAATACGATGAAGATAAAAAATTCATGAAATCACGCGCATGCATGTGTGCTGCAATCTGATTGGCTGAAACTTCAAATGGCTATAACTCCCTTGTTTTTTAAGCAAACAGGATGGGATTTAGAACATAGATAAATATAAGGGACTCCTACAAGAAGGTGTATTCATCATGCACTTGCTTGCACGTGCGTGCACGTGAAATGAGTAAATTAAAAATACACTCGAATGAGAGTATTTTTTAATACTTTTGGATAACATCTTTGATATCAAGTTTATTAAAATATATAGATAGTGTAGACAATATAATATGGCCGTTACGCACATGAACACGCGTACAATGCTTAAATTTAAATATATTTTGTATTCTTCTGGGAAGACCTTGATAAGTTTAAATTCCATTAAGTATTTCTTATTTAATAGAGATTACAGGGAATATGGCACCAAAAGGGAGTTGGGGAGCGTTTGGGGAACATCTGTAACGGTTCCCGTTACAATTAGCACTAGTTATTATTATTATTATTATTATTATTATTCTTTTTTTTCTTCTTTGTTCTCCGGTACTTTTTTGTCCGCGAGTGTTCTCAGAAACTGTTCACCCAATTGAGCTAAAACCTTTTTAGGGTTAATAGGTGTGTAGTGTAGGTGTGCAACACGAAGGTTATTTTGCGCGCATACGCATGCACGTGCGTGCGCGTGAAATGAGTGAATTGACTGATATACTTAATATAGCTATTACATTTACATTTTTTGATGAAATGATTTGAAACTCATTATATAAAGATATATTAATACTGTAGATAATGTGACACTCTCAAATTAGCACGAACTCACGCGCATGCACGTGCGCTTCGCTCTGATTGGCTGAAACAAAAAGCTCAATATCTTTTCTGTTTTTTGACGAAATGCTATGAAATTTAAAACATAGGCATACTTTAGGATGTACTACAATATGATATATAACAATTGTCATGTAAGCACGCGCATGCACGTGCACTGCAATCTGATTGGCTTAAACTTTAAGTGGCTGTAACTCCTTTGTTTTTCAACCAAACAGTATGAGATTTAGAACATAGACAGACATAATGGACTCCTACAAGGCGGTGAAGTCGTCATGCACATGCATGCACATGCGTGCACTTGTGCTTTGCTGTGATTGGCTGAAACAAAAATCGCAATATCTTTTTTAATTTTTGACGAAATGCTTTGAAATTTTACACATAGTCATGCATTAGGATGTCCTACAATATGATATATAACAGTTGTCGTGAAAACATGCGCATGCACGTGCGCTGCAATCTGATTGGCTTAAACTTTAAATGGCTATTACTCCCTTGTTTTTCAACCAAACAGGATGGGATTTAGAACATAGACAGTCATAATAGACTCCAACAAGATGGTATGGTCGTCATGCACGTGCGTGCACGTGTTCTTCACTCTGATTGGCTGAAACAAAAATCTCAATATCTTTTCCGTTCTTTGACGAAATGCTACGAAATTTAAAACATAAGCATACAATAGGATGTCCTACAATATGATATATAACAATTGTCATTAAATCACACGCATGCACGTGCGCTGAAATCTGATTGGCTTAAACTTTAAATGGTTATAACTCCCTTGGTTTTCAACGAAATAGGATGGTATTTAGAATATTGATAGACATAATGGACCCCTACAAGAAGGTATGGTCATCATGCACATGCTTGTGACGTGAAATGGTAATTTAAAAATATGCTTGAATAAGTGTATTTTTTAATACTTCTGGATTTAATGCTTTGATATTAAGTCTATTTGAATATATATACATAGTGTAGAAAAGATGATATGATCATTACCCACATGCATTCACATGAGCTCGCATGTAATGCTAAAATTTAAATATATTTCATAGTCTTCTGGGAAAACATTGTTTAAGTCTAAATTGCACAAAGTATGTCTTATTTGATAGAGTTTAAGGAAATATGGCACCAAAAGGGAGTTGGGGAGCGTTTGGGGAACATCTGTAACGGTCCCCGTTACAATTAGCCCTAGTTTATATTTTTGATTGCAGGATTCATTTTAGTAAACTTTGTTAAAAAATCAAATTCTACTTTTCATGCAGAAAAAAAATATCATTACAAACCAAAAACATTTTGGAACAATTTTTTTAAACATTCTTTTAAAAAATCCTTCACTACTTTTTAAGAAGTAAAATATATACATAAAATGTGATTACATTTACTTTGAATTGTTTATATTCAGCATTACTTAAGTTGCTTACACACAAAAGATGGAGTAATTTTTTTTTTTTTTTTTTGGCTTTTGCATCTTTCTGTCATTTTTGTTATTTCCTTTTTTCCACAGCTTTAAAGAAAACTAACCACGGGCAACTTGAGTCACTCGACATGATGATAAAACGGTTGATACAATCCGCGAAATTTTACGCTCCAAGACAGGAGTGTTTGGATACGGTCAGTGACTGCGAGACCCATACCACGGGTCACTGGATGACTCAATGCTTCAGCGCCTACTACAACCAAAACTGCTGTGCCTACTGCAAAGCAAAGTCTGAAATTGTCGTCAGTTAGGTTAGTAGCTGGTTTTACAGTTTTCTCTGTTTAATTGTTTCCAATTGTCATGGAAAGCACACGATGCTTCCCTAAATTTGACTTTCAAAATATATTACAATATATGTAGGCTGAATGTTAAACTAAATACAAATGCATAGAAAACAGTTGATTGTTCAAAATCAGTGAAGAATTTACTGATTATACATATAATTATTTACTTTTACACTTTTTTTAGATTAGTGTTTAGTTGATAAGTATCAGATACATTAAACATCTAAGTAAATTATTATGACTTTGTAGGTATTGTGTATTTTTTTAAGCTTAGGAATTTTTTCACCTTATAGAGTTTCAATTCAGAAATCAGAACCCAATTTCATTCCTGTATTTTTTGGTTTGCAGATGTTGACCCAACAATGCGCAAATAATAAAGGCAAACCATATCAAACTCCAATGACGAATATTTCAAGAAAAATGTTTTAAATAATAAAGAATATGAAAATTATTCTTTTTTGTTATCCTTGTTAACTTTCCTTGAGAATGGTAAGACTTTTAAAAGTAATGCTGGTCAAATGTGTACTAATCTATAGAAAGCTGTACTTTGCCAAAACACGGATCTTTTGAATTTGAGTCAGTTATAAATGCAGAGCCTGATTTGATTGAGCCAATTAAACCAATTTTTCCTTCCACATGAAAATGTGAACATTTGTTTTTCTTTAAACCTTTAAACAAAAAAGATATAACGCAAAATATATCTGATTTACAAAAAGACATTTTTTTTTTGTTTTGATCTATCTGTAAATCAACCGATCAAATGTTTGGAATCACTTAAACCATTTTTAAGCGGTTAGCTTCGCTAGCCGCTATATGGCATGTGTCGGCAACCGGAAACCTCCATAAGGCGCTACCTATCGACAACAGAAACTTCAACAAAGCCTCTACCAATGATTTGTTTCTAACACATATAACATATGTTAAATAAAATCAAGAATATCAAAACAACATAATCTTTCGGTTTTTAATTTTTATCTGATTTTGTTTGTCAATGAAATAAATTTATTGTTGTATTTTTAAATTTTATGTATAGGAGCATTTGGTGTCGAGATTAAATTTCCGTGACGTCAGCTGATGGCGATCGGGTCCTGTGACGAAATTTGAAGTCAGCATGAAGTTTAGCTGATAACATTATCAACGCGTTGGATTTAAACTTAAGGAAGAAATATATAGCGAGAAATATCATATTTGAACCTAATGCTACACGAAAACCGGTAGGCATATCCGATTTATGTGTTAAATTGAAGCCTGAATTGAACAGGGGGTCAAAATGGCGTTGCACACCTTGTGTATCTAAACTGTACATAGAGGGGTAGAATGTTTCGATATTTGGCTAATTTAGAGACTTACTGATAAAAATTCAGGTGCCTGTGATTAATTATAAGGCACCCCTCATGAACAATAAATATTTGATCGAATTATGCTACTGGCACAGAAAGGACGGGTTAATTACTGGCTTAAGGGGTAGAAGGTTATTACAGACTGCAAAACATCCGAGAATCTCTCGATCGAGTTTCATTTTCCTTGCCAAAATATTTAGCCATCCCTTTAATTAACTTAAGTAATACTAGTACATGAAGAAAGCTTTATATATAAAAAAAACTGAATACATCTGCAGGGTTCTCCATCATTTGAAATTTTACTGTGTTGCAGAGTTTACGTGAAGCACTAAATATTCGCGCTATTTTCGAGATCAAATTCGCAACTGAATTACTTTTCATTAAACTTATATAGGAACATATGCGCACACTTTTTAAAATAAATCACTATTTCGATATACAAATATTTTCGTCATACATATTGATAAAAGTAAAAACACGTGCTATGAAAAGCAGGGGGAATTCTGATCGATACAATCAAACTAATTACCACTTTTGAAAGTAAATTTGTTGTACTTTTTTGTCAGTTTTTTTTTAAATCAAATTACCGAATTGCAAAGGAAAAAATAGGGAAACTTCAGGACAGGGTGATATTCTTACGAGTTCCTTAAAAATGTGTCGCATGCATAAAATTTTAATCGTTACTGTGTCGTAGAAAATTTTGCTGTGTCGGGAGCAACACAGTAAAACAGCTCATGGAGAACCCTGCACCTGTAAGCTGTACAGTTATAGATTACTTCCATAATGGAACGTTTGTTTTCTTCTCCTTTTTTTTTCTCAATTGAAATTATTTAAAAGATGATGAAAGCTTTGTTTCCAGGGATAAATTCTGTACTCGGTCTAATCATTACAAACGATTATAAACGTCACATTATTTAAATATTTGCCAAATACTCAGTATATGTTCGTTTATATATATCGTGCTTACAAGACTCTTTTTTGAATTATTGTCATGTACCATTTACTAATTCGAACATTTATTGTATTTAAAGTCAATAGTGTACATTTCTTAAAACTTTATTATCTTGTTTACTTGTCTTTCTTCCTGTGAGAGAAATAGTTCATAATATTAATAAACAGATGTACTCAGTATCTGTATCAAAATACAGAATGAATAGTGATCGGTCTCAAATGAAAAACGGATCCTTGAAAGTTCCGGTGCCTAGGAGAAGTAAGCATCCCCAATAACAGGTCACACCTGCTGACCCGCAGTGAGCATACGAAACTGAAGCCCTCTGAAATTAAATTAATTTACAAATTCTCTGCTCGTCCATCCGTTTTTCTCAGACTAGCCAGCTAAAGATCTATGTACAGAACTCCAAATAAATTAATCTTAAGAATTTGAATTATCATTACCGTCTTCCTTGGAAGACGGTATTGTATAGTTGAAGTTTTTTCACAGTCGTCGGACTATGCACTTCCTCTCTTTTGTGATTGGTAGAAATTGCATGATGAGAAAATTTTCAATTATTTCATTGGTTGAAACGCTGTTCAAGGCAAGGAAGATAACTTTCTGATTATATATTTTTCGTACAATTCCAATCTTAAAAAAAATGACAAAACGAACAACGAAATCAGCAGTAATTAATTCTTAATAACATAGCGTTTTTACTGTTTTATAGTGATAAAAGTGTTTTATAGCGATAAATAAAAAGGTCTCTTTAATTTCATTATAAATAAAATTTGATAGTTATTGCTTGCAGGCTTTACAATTTGTTATTATTCTTTTCCCCTTTCTTGTTTGAAGAGTGAATGGGAATCAGCCGAGGTTTGCCGAAAGCTCTCGGCCAGTCAACGTTTACGGAGATGACCGAGCGACAACCGTGGTAGGGCTAATGCCCGTAAAAAGCTTATTTAGAAATACAAAGTCAAGAAATTCAAAAGAAGTATAGATCTGTTTACTATTTAAAATTGTTGCTAAAGACAGTAAGCTTTTTTGAAAAGCTCTACTTCTTTTTGAGTAGGCTTTACAGTTACCTAATTTCAGAGTCAATAGAGCATGAAAGACAATTAAATTTGCAACTTCAACATATTTTTTTTTGTTCTGAGCACATTTGGACGCCACCAATGGAGACAATTAGGAAGAAATTTTTGAAATTGAACTTCCTGTCTTTCAAACTGAAAATCTCAGGTTGATATTTTGAAACATACATTTGTGTCATCAGTCTGGGATGTTATTGGTTTTTCCATTTAGTTAAGTACTACAAAAGTCAGTGTGTCTGCTTCTTCGCTGATGACATCGGACAAAAATATGCATGCTTACTTTAATATCATCACTGAATGCATATTTTGTTAGTCTACACTGTACAGTCAAATTCCATGAAAGCATGCTAACCGCTTTTCAGTACTTTCAGTACTTTGATTGCTTCTTTCTCGGTTAACTTTGCATTAAAGATCAAAGGTAATGTGTTCAAGTAATTTTCTCATCTTTATCCGTTTTTTTTTAATTCTTACCGTTTACCTTGTTTTTTTTTTCATTACAATTTTTAGAAGAAAATATTTACTAAGCAACTAACTCTGTTCCTTACTTGTACGCAAAAATACAGAAAAGAAAGAATTTAACATAATCCTTACATTTTCTTTCTTAACTTTTTATTTTAAATTCAAACGTTTATAAACAAAAACATCGATTGAGTATTCTTTATCACCCGAGATAATAAAATGTAATTAAATACATGTACTTGATATAAAACGAACACCATGCAAAATAAATTTTGTGTCTGTGTCGCACAAGAACAACAATTAATTGTAACCCTGCATTACCCTGAAACAGAGAAATGTTCCTGCCAGCATATACGGACTCCTTGGTGATGGTAGAGAGATGATTACGTAGAAGCCGCGTCATTGTTTTGTTTAAATTTCTATGGACATCTGGTATTTCAGTCAGTTACATTCTGTGCAAGTCTTTCCCGATTTATTGCTGTGGCAGTGTGAATTGTTCCCTTTCTTGGTCAGTACATCGACATACATCTCATATATATCTGGTTTTACAGTAGGACTTATGGCCATTCCCAGTTGTGACAGTTTGGATAATGCCCAGGAGAGATCCTGATGATGGTGTACAGCAGCGGCTAAAACGGCGATATATCCTAAAACAAAGAAAGGGAAAATAGTCTCTAAATATATCCCAAACGTTATCTGTAACCCATTATTAAGGTAGAAAACATGCATACAGAGATGATCAACGAATAAGAAACTAGTGCTAATTGTAACGGGGACCGTTACAGATGTTCCCCAAACGCTCCCCAACTCCCTTTTGGTGCCATATTCCCTGTAAGCTTCATTAAATAAGACAAACTCGATGCATTTGAGACTTTAATAACGTTTACCCAGAAGTGTACAAAGTTCATTCAAATTTTGCGTGCGCATGTGAATGCATGTGCGTAATGACCATATCATATTGTCTACACAATCTATATATTTTTGTATACTAAATATTAAAGCATTTAATCCAAAAGTATTAAAAAAATACGCTCATTCAAGTGTTTTTTTTTATTTTGCTCATTTCACGTGCACGCACGTGCATACATGAGCATGGTGACCATATCGTCTTGTAGATGTCCGTTACATATATCTATGTTCTAAATCCCACCCCGTTTGGTTGAAAACCAAGGGAGTTATAGCTGTTTAAAGTTTCAACCAATCAGATTGCAGCGCACGTACATGCACGTATATGCATGTGCATGGTGACCATATTTTCTTGTAGTAGTCCAGTATATCTATCTATGTTCCAAATCCCATCCTGTTTGGTTGAAAATCAAGGGAGTTATAGCTATTTAAAGTTTAAGCCAATCAGATTGCAGCGCACGTGCATGCACGTGTTCTTATGATAATTGCTATATATCTTGTTGTAGGATATCCTAATGCATGGCTATTTTCAAAATTTCAAAGGAATTCGTCAAAAAATAAGAAAGATATTGAGACTTTAGTTTCAGCCAATCAGAGCAAAGCGCACGTGCATGCGCGTGAGATCTTGCTATTTTGACCATGTCATATTGTCTATGCTTCTAATATAGCCTTATATTATAAGTTTCAAAGCAATTCATCAAAAATTTATAAAGTTACGCCTATATCAATTAAATCGGTCATTTCACATGTTGCACGTGCACGCTCTTGCAAGCACGTGCGCGCAAAATAACCTTCGTTCCGCAAATCTACATAACATGTCTACTGACCCTAAAAACATTTCACCTTAGTCGGATGTATAGTTTACGAGATCATTCCCGGACAAAAAAGTACCCAGGAAGAAGAAGAAGAAAAATAATAATAATAATAATAATAATAATAAGAAACAGAGTAAAAACAATATGTTCCCCAACTTCGTTTGGGGAACATAATAAAGCATAAACGAAATGTTACAGTTCCAACCGAGAAGGCTTGTTACAATATTGTCTATACAGTGTATTTGCAAGGCTAATTATTTGAAGAACTTGGTTCTAATTTTACTCTGAAAATCCAACTTATATTTGCGATTTTCATTCTAAAGATGACATGCTTCAAAATCACATTTCAGTATTTTAAACATTGAACATTCCAGTCAACCAAGGTAAGTTCGATCTACCCTACCTTTATCGAATTCCTAGACTTCATAAAAAAAATCTTACAGAGGTTTATATCTCTCTCTTTATCCCTCTCTCTTTCCAAAAATTCGAATACGTGTTTAGCATAATTAAAACAATATTTAGTTTGCTTAATTCTGAAAACGGCAACAAAACACGCTCAAAGACAAGATTTAGATCGGAGTTAGATTGAAGAATACAATGTAATGTTTTCACGAGTACACTCACAGGTGGACATCACGTGACGAATTGTAATATTTCACAGGTCAATCGAAGACATTTCAATGGAAGCGAGAAGTTTGTTTTGAACACGTTTTTTGTTAAATTAAGTGTGAGCACACTTTTGTCGGCTCTTCTCCTTTTGACATAACATTATTTTGTTCAATATACAACTACAGTTTTCTTAAGAACAGCCGACAAACATGTGCTGACTATGTATTCAGTCGATGTAAAACGCCTGACCCTGATTATCTATTGATATTCAAGAAATCTTCAGGCACCATGCTTTCGATATTTATTTAGTTTACCTCGAAAAAAGTGTTTTAAATTCCCATCCGTACCATGAATACACAGTTAAGATATCGGGGGTTTATATGATGCAAAAAAATAAACATTTTATGAAACTTAAATTTACGGCATTTTTTCTGGCCAGTTAAGTCCACCCATTCTTTCTCTTTATTTGGTCTACATGTGAGAGAGTTTGAAATATATTTTAACCTAGCCTCTTTAATTTCTTTTTTGTGCATTCAAAAACATAATGGAATTCATCACCAATCTTATAAAGATCACATAAAGTACAAATCCTTTGTTCTCTTGGAAGACCATTCCATCTCCCAGTTTCAATAGGGAGTTTAAAGTTATTACATCTAAATTTACATAACAAAATTGAAAATTTTCTAGGTAGATTAACAAGATATCTTTCTGGTTCTAACATTTCTTAATAAATACGGTAATTTACACCCTTTGAAGAGTTAAAAACATTACTTTGCCAGTTTTGGATATTTTGGTCAACAAGCATTCTTTTTATTTCATTTTTCACCCATGCTACACTGTACATCTGTTGTGTTGTCCATAAATAAGATAATTCCACCGAAGAAAATAAAATAATGGTAATGTACTAGTGATTACTAAAGACAGTGAAGTGATGATAACGTAGTGATTACTAGAGAAAATAACATTTATTTTCAATCAAAGTGAGTATACAAATGCATTACAATGCTGTGTAATGCCATCGTTATTTTAAACAAAGAAAGGGAAAATATTCTCTAAATATGTCCCAAACATTATCTGTAACCAATCATTAAGGTAGAGAACATGCATACAGAGATGATCAACGAATAACAAATAAAGCATAAACGAAATTTTATGGTTCCAACCGAAAAGGCTTGTTACTGTGTATACAGTATATTTGCAAGGCTAATTATTTGAAGAACTTGGTTCTAATTTTACCTCTGGAAATCCAACTTATATTTGCGATTTTCATTCTAAAGATGACATGCTTCAAAATCACATTTCAGTATTTCAAACATCGAACATTCCAGTCAACCAAGGTAAGTTCGATCTACACTACCTTTATCGAATTCCTAGACTTCATAAAAAAAAATCTTACAGAGGTTTATAGCAGGGTTAAGCAAATGCTATACTAAGCCCCTATCCTTACAAAAAATATTGACTGCCGTTAAGAAGAAACTTTTAGACGTACTGTTCTACAGCATATTCTAGAAGGGATGTAAATCAGATGTGGAATTTCAAAAAATCCAAAGGACTTTTTAGATTTAAAGTCGTCAAACTCTTCAAAAGTCAGTTACTTCAAAACGTACGATTTTTCTACACTTTATACAACCATTCCTCGCGATAAATCAAAAACCAAGCTTTTTGATATTTTAGAAACAGGATAATTTTATAAAAATGGAAGTCAATTTTTTTTTCTATCTTGTGTTGGTCCTTTACAAAATCATACTGATTCTACACTCAAGTACTCTGATGTTGATATTAAAAGGATGCCAAAGTTTCTCACTGACATTTATGTAGATCTAGTTTTCCAACAAGCTGTTGGAATGTGGAAGTGTATTAATTGTGCTCTTTTACTAGCTGACCTGTTTTTGAATACCTATGAAGCAGAGTTTATTATAAAATGTTTACAAAAGAAGAATTAGAGCAATCGCTGTGGGTTTCAACTCGATATTTAGATATATCAACGATGTATAAATTAACAGCAGTTGCTTTCATAAATATGTCGATTCGATATATCCCAGTGACGTTGAAATTAAATACATAAAAGAGTCTGCAATATCTGATTTTATATTGAATATTATATTGACTATAGACGATAAAGACCAACTAACAATTCAATTGTGCGACAAACGAGATGATTTCATAAATTTTCAATCGTCAATTTTTTATGTAGTCACCTGCCTATAGTGTTTAAAGAATTATATGATTGTGGTCCACAGGGGATGCTTACTCCTCCATGGCATCTGATCCCACATCTGATGTTTTTAGAGGTCTGTGTTTGCCTTGTGTTTCGATAGTCTTTTGAGAATGAAAACTGTTCCATACTTATAATGTACTAGTTTCAGACACAGGAGGACTTACCGGCTCGTTTAGAACTTGCACAATGGATAAGAACTGGTCCTCTGTTCACAGAATCCATTAATTCGGGTTGATACAAGGAAAATAGTTCTGCAGAAAAGGGCTCGCTGTTCACTAAAATATATTTAAAAGATCAGGATTCGGTTGCACGAACGATAGTTAAATTAACTGTAAGTTAAGCCTTTAATTGTTAGTAAAAAATTTAACTGTCAGTTACGTAACTAGCCATTAAAAATGGGTTGCACGAAACGTAATTAAACGTTTATAGTTAACTATGACTTAACTCATCGACGTTAGTTAACAAGCAATTAAATACGTCTGCACGTGCGTTTTCCTTACAACTGTATGGAATATGGCTGCCAAACGAGAGCGATGTGCTAACTGAAGTATCGCAGAAATTACAGTTTTGACGGAGTTTGTTGAAAAAAATGAGGAAACTCTTAAAGCGAAACAATGTAACCAGATTACGAACTCAAAAAAAATGCTATGTGGGCAGAGGTTACAGCTATGATTAATGCCATCGGTGTGCAAAAACGCACCGTAGAGCAAGTTAAATTTAAGTGGGGTAATTTGCAACAAGGAGCAAAGAAAAGTTTTAGTGAAGCTAGAAAAAAAAGCAAATTGACCGGAGGAGGTCCTCCACCAAAGCCGCTTACTGCCACTGAAGAGAAGATCATCGAGATGATGAAAGATCGTCCCAATTTCAGTGGCATTGTAGGCGGCTTCGAGTCATCTGTGCCGGCATTTGCAGGTACGTATTCTTCGATTATCAAAGACAACAACAAAAAAATTAAAATCAAAATTACATTAAATCAAATTATACTTCAATCAAATGAAACCAGTCTACTTGTTATGTTTGTTTATAAATATCGTCTGACAAAATTGCTCAGGATGATGACGTCACCAACCATTCACACAACACGTGTAATATAAATGATGTATTGTCATAATAACACTATTCTGTTGTTTTGATTATATCTTAATTTTCTCCTTAAAATGTAAGACTTACTTGAAAACAGCTACTTTAAATAATCCAGCCTGTGATGCAACTAAGCCTCGATGCAATGACGAAGGCTACATCAGTAGGGGCCTACACATTTCTCGATCCTGTACATAGCCTAGTCTTTGAAAACTCTATGATCGTCTAAACAGAGAGTATAAAATCGACTTTTCACGTTAATAGAATTAACATCCCATTCAAAACTTTTAAAAAATCCACGTCATCACACAAGAATGTTCAAGTCCGATGTAAACTCAGCACTCAATCTAGGCCTATCACATTCTCATTTATAAAGTGACGTCATTAGTGGGGCACCGTATGGGTTGTCATCTCCATTACATGGGCTTCTGAACCGGGGGTGGGGGGGGGGGGTTAGCCCCTCCCCACTTTTTTGCAAATATACCTAATTTGGACATAATATAGGCAATATGCTGAAAGTGGACGTAGGTTTAGATCCCCTCCCCTACTTTCAACACCCCATCTTCCTCCGCACGATTTTAGTTTCGTGATGATGCTTTCCTTAATATTCCCTGGTATTATTTTCAAAAGGTTTTATGACTTTCTTTTCTCTTCATTACCTGACCCATTTTCCATTTCCATCTTGGAAAAAAATGCCACGCTCAGATCTTGGTTCAGTTATGTAAAACACCGACTTTCAATAGATCCTTTTCAAAAATCTCTCGATCCACCTATAAATGATTTTAAATAATTCAGGTATATCACAGTGTAAATCCTTGTTCCTGATTGATTGTAGAACGGCAGGTAGTGGGCCTGTATGCTTTTTTTAAATTCTATTGTTATAAGATCAATGAACATTTGGAAAATGGAACATGGAAGGCTTGTTCATTCCTCTCGTCCCCCCCCCCCCCCTTTCCCCATTTTGAAATTGCTTGTTTAATATAGGCCAAATATTTTCCAGCAGTGCGTATAGACATAATTGTTACTATACTATAGTATTTAGTATCAATCATATTCTGTTGTTATTTTTACTTTAAAGTGGTGTCAAAAGAAACTGAGCCAGAGGCAACATCTACCTCCACCCATGGTACCAATGAAGAAGGAACGGAAGCAGATGCAAACGAGGTCCGAAGTTCTGAGTGTACTTATCCTGATTGTGAAAGGTTGGTTTGATAATCTTAAGTTAAATGAAAGCAATTGTGAGGGCTAAAAATAATTCTTTTTCAGTTTGTCAAGAAAAAAAATTCTTTCGTGTTAATGCTGTAAACGTACTTTTTACGAGGCCAATCACATACAGGTCTATTTGGGGAAAAAAATTAATTTTGCGAATTTTTTGTGTGTCACTGACTAGGAAGTTTATATTTCCTTTCAATAATTGCATTTCCTTTTAAATTTTACCATCACACTAGTTATATACGTACTAACTATATGGCCGTCCGAAAAAAACCCAGTAAAATTAATAAAGAAATAAATTTATCATTTATGATCGTATGCATGATACTGTAATTAACGTGTATATGCAATTTCTACTTTTCAAAACATTATTGGTTTATTCTCAACTGTCGGTAAGTCTTATCAATTCTGCTTTTTTTTATCATAATTTTACTCCATAGCTTTCTCGTATTAAGTTAATCCAGTTTAATTGTTTACTACCTAGGGCGGATATGGAAAAGGAAACAGAGATGGAAAGTTGCAGTGAACGTGATCAGTCACCATCGGTTCCCAAACATAAGAAAAGGAAGAAGATTACATTAGTTGATTTGCAGACAATGCAGTATGAGGTAGCAAATGTTTATTACAGTCCTCTTACCACTAATTTATGACGTCTGGTGACTTTTCACACAGGTGTTCGTGAACCCCCCTTTTTGTCTCCGTGTTCTCTGATAATTTGAGTATGTATTTTGTAAAAGGCTACTTTAAGGTGATATTTAGGACTTTCAGTCGTAATATCTTGTGATTGTGTCATATAAATATAAAAATATTTTATTTTTTAAAAAAAGTCAAGGAATCATTGCGGTACGGAATACGGGGGAAGGGGGGATGCTATTGTATCACTAATGTAAAAATAAAAGGTAAACTGCGATTGCATGGATAATGAAAGGTCGCATCAAAGGTTATTTGCGACTATGCTTCCTTTACTCGCATTGGTCGATATTTAAATATAAACTATAAGTAAATACAATGTTCTTGTCATTCAGCCATACCGAGTAAGGGTCGTGCATTTGGTGGAATGTCCGAATTACAAACTATCGTATGCCACAACAGCTAGGGTGTTCATATAGTCTTTAAAACATGCCTTTATTATTATACCCGCACTTTCGAAAGAAAGTTCGGGTATATTGTTGTTACTCATGTCCGTCCGTCCGTCCGTCCGTCCGTCCGTCCGTCCGTCTGTCACACTTTTCTTCCCTGAACTCCTCCTACATTTTTTACACTAGCTTAATCATCCTTTGGGAGATGGTTGGGGGTGTCATGTAGATGTGCAGTAAGGTTTCGGAATTTTGATTTTGCCCCGGGGGATCAAATGGGGGTCGAAAAATGACGTTTTTTATACAAAAAGCCCCTTCTTCCCTGAACTCCTCCTACATTTTTCACAGTAGCTTAATCATCCTTTGGGAGATGGTTGGGGGTGTCATGTAGATGTGCAGTAAGGTTTCGGAATTTTTATTTTGCCCCGGGGGATCAAATGGGGGTCGAAAAATGACGTTTTTTATACAAAAAGCCCCTTCTTCCCTGAACTCCTCCTACATTTTTCACAGTAGCTTAATCATCCTTTGGGAGATGGTTTGGGGTGTCATGTAGATGTGCAGTAAGGTTTCGGAATTTCGATTTTGCCCCGGGGGATCAAATGGGGGTCGAAAAATGACGTTTTTTATACAAAAAGCCCCTTCTTCCCTGAACTCCTCCTACATTTTTCACAGTAGCTTAATCATCCTTTGGGAGATGGTTGGGGGTGTCATGTAGATGTGCAGTAAGGTTTCGGAATTTTGATTTTGCCCCGGGGATCAAATGGGGGTCGAAAAATGACGTTTTTTATACAAAAAGCCCCTTCTTCCTTGAACTCCTTCTACAATTTACTCAGCAGCCTAATCATCTTTTGAGAGATGGCTGGTGGTGTCATGTAGATGTGCAGTAAGGTTTCAGAATTTCGATTTTGCCCCGGGGGTTCAAATGGGGGTCGAAAAATGACGTTTTTTATATAAAAAGCCCCTTCTTCCCTGAACTCCTCCTACATTTTTCACAGTAGCTTAATCATCCTTTGGGAGATGGTTTGGGGTGTCATGTAGATGTGCAGTAAGGTTTCGGAATTTTGATTTTGCCCAGGGGGGTCAAATGGGGGTCGAAAAATGACGTTTTTCATACAAAGAGCCCTGTTTTCCCTGAACTCCTCTTACATTTTACTCAGCAGCTTAATCATCTTTTGGGAGATGGTTGGTGGTGTCAGGTAGATGTGCAGTAAGGTTTCGGAATTTTGATGTTGCCCCGGGGGGTCAAATGGGGGTTGAAAAATAATGTTTTTCAAACAAAGAGCCCTGTTTTCCCTGAACTCCTCTTACATTTTACTCAGCAGCTTAATCATCTTTTGGGAGATGGTTGGTGGGGTCATGTAGATATGCAGTAAGGTTTTGGAATTTAGATTTTGCCCCGGGGGGTCAAATGTGGGTCGGAAAATGATGCTTTTTGTGCAAAAAGCCCTGTCTTACTTGAAGTCTTCCTTAATGTTACTCAGAAGCCTAATAATCTTTTAGGAGGGTTAAATATTTTGAAAATTATGTAAAACATCAACGTCAAGGGGTAACAAGATGTGTTTGTGAAATACTATGCGCCCGGCATCAACAAAGTACAAAAAGCTATATTTTTTGCATATAGGTCACAGTCAAGGTCATTGACCTTGGTGTTGTTTGTAAGAACTTAATTAGTGGGGTATGCATACTAAATATGAAGTTGTAATCTCCTATGGTTCAAAAGTTATGGCAAAAAGTAGAAAAAGCTATTTTTAGCATATAGGTCACCGTTAAGGTCACAAGGTCATTGACCTTCATGTCATTTGAAGGAACTTTATCAGTGCAGTATTCGAACCAAATATGAAGTCTCTATCTCCTATGGTTCAAAGGTTATGGCAAAAAGTGGAAAAAGCTATTTTTAGTATAAAGGTCACAGTCAAGGTCACATGATCATTGACCTTGGTGTTGTTTGAAAGAACCTATTTAGTGAAGTATGCATACCAAATATGAATTCCCTATCTCCTATGGTTCAAAAGTTATGACCAACACTTGAAAAACCTATTTTTAGCATATAAGTCGCAGTCAAGGTCACAAGGTCATTGACCTTGATGTCATTTGAAAGAACTTTGTTAGAGGAGTATGCATACCAAATATGAAGTCTCTATCTCTTACGGTTCAAAAGTATTGGCCAAGGTTAAACTTGACAACAGACAAACAGACAAACAGATAAACAGACAAACAGACAGGACAAAAACAATATGCGCCCCTAAAAAATTGGGGCGCATAAAAAAAACATTGCATGCTGGGAAACACCTTGAATTCTTATGAGTAATTTATGTACATGTCAAATGTGAGAGTCATATCTCATCTCAATCAAAAGTTATAAGCAAATGCAACATTTTTGAAAAGTAGGTTAGGCTTGATTGCTTCAAGGTCAAGGTCACAGTGTAAAAATATTTGGAAAGGTCTTTATCACAGGTAATAATAAACATGCATTATGATATGAATGCCCTAACTTTTCTCTTTCAAAATGATGAATTTATAACAACTTAATTTTTTTGCAAGTTGGTCAAACTTCTAGGTCACATGTAAAAAAAAAACATGCCATTCTCACAGGTAAATATACTAATAATAATTTTAATATGAATGTCTCTTCTCATTCTGTAGATATGACCGTGATAACCAAGATTAAATTTTTTGAGACAGATGGACTGAGTCTGACATACAAATGTACATATTTCTATATGAATTGGGTAAAATTCGCCCAGTGGTTCTAGAGAAGTTAAAAATGTAAAAAGTTTTCAGACAAACAGATGGACAACACGTCACGACAGACATTATATGCTAAGGAAACAAAAAAAGCTCAAATGAGTGTTTTGAAAGGGTTACAATATGGTTGGAGTATTTGAAAAGCTGTTTTTTTTCCTGCAGAGATATGCATGACCAACATATTTATGTTTTATATTTTCTTTAGTAATTTGTTTGTTTGTTGTGAATACATCTTCCCTCATATGGAGACACCACCAAATAATAATGTAGATAAGATGTGTTTGTGAAACACTGATGTCCCAGTATGGAAGCCTATGGCGAAGGTTGAAGTTTCTCAAATATATGTCAAACTCAAAGGTCAAGGGTTCAAATTGTTAGTGTCAGAAGAAAGTCTATGTTAAATAAAGAAATCTCTAGTAATTCCTTTTCAAAAGTTAATTGCCAAGGTTAATTTTTTTTTAAGTGGTTCAAACTCTAGGGTCAAGGTCAAACATATTTCCTGTTGACAGTTCAAAATGAATACAATATGTCATGATAAGTATGAAAGCCCTAGCACCTACTGATCAAAAATTAGGCAGAGTTTAAAGTTTGGTATTTTTCTTGTAAAAATGTGTATCCCATGTCAAGCGATCAGAGGTAAAAATTAATGGTACCCAAATAAAAGGTCTTATTAAATTGTCACAAGAAATAAACCTATAAAATGTGGAAGCTATATGTATAGCCCATCCCACTTAAAACTTATGGGCAAGCTAGCTAGGATTTAATTTTTGCAGACTTATAGACAGACATACTATAAACACAAGAAACAAAATATGTACATGTATAATAATTAGTCAAATGGAAAAAAAATATACTATTAAACTGGAATCACAAAATAGATTGTTATTTCAGGGACAGGAAGTGGGTAGGAAGATTGGAATCCCCCCCCCCCTCCCCCCCCCCCCCCCCCCCCCATCTTGCATTTGCTTTGTTATTTAAACAAGACTATATACTGTAGCAAGTAAAAAATGACTCTTGACATCCTCTCCCTATAAACTTAGAAAACATTGACCTCCCTATCATTGTTTTTTTATTTGTTTATTTGTTTTCATTTTTTTTCTCCTGCTTGTCACGAAATTCTGGGCTGGAATTTTTTGACTTAGATGTGAACCCCCCTCCCTACTCCCTAAAAAAATTCTGGATCCGCACCAGTATTGGCAGTAACTGAATGTCACATCGACAATGGGAGATAACTTCACAATATGAAATTCGTCTAGTGTGGCATGGGATGATCTTTGACCCTTTTTAAACTTTAACCTAATCATTGACTTCTACTTACCGACTCCCTGTGTCTCGTAAACTTCATGAAATATAAATCCAATTATAACACAAAATGAATTAATCCAATGCACACCAGACTGCAACCATGTGCCATTTTGGCGAACTTTCGTCGATTCCGTCACCTTATCAGATGAAGTGGGAATCGGCCGAGGTGTGCCAAATGGTGTTTAATCTATAAATATCATAATGGGTGACGCAACGTGATGTAATGTAGAAATTTACATGTTCACATGTATAGTACAAGAACAAATTTTAAATTAATTCATTACAAACGATATTAAATTTTAACAAACCTTTTCCATCTAGCCTATTCCAAAAAGTATGTGCTGTGTGATTGTGGCGTCGAGGGGGGGGGGGGGTAGTAAATTTAAAAAGGTCCTATTATGAGCAAAACATATATAATTTCAGACGCGGATCCAGAATTTTTTTCCGGTGGGGGGGGGGGGGGGGGGGGGGAGGTCCACCTCAGTCAAAAAAAATCCTATCCCAGAAATTGACAATCAAAAAAAAACCTAAAGTAAATCTCACCCAAACGTCAAAAACCTATATCGTGGAGGTGGGTAAGGGGTAGTGGTGACTTCTATTGCCGCAAATGTTTAACTTTTCATACCTATTTTACACATATTCGTGTTTACCAGGGGGGGAGGGGATCTGCATTTTCAAAGGGGGGTCCATTGTAACTTTTTCCTTGTTTTAGTGTATACATTTTTTAACCTTGTAAATTCCAAGGGGGGGGGGCTGACCCCCCCCCCCCCCCTGACAGATCCGTGCATGAATTTACATCATTAATAAAATTCAGACTTGTATATAATGAATTAAGCATGTATAAAATAAATATAAGAGGTTCTGAGTTATAGGTCACAGGGTCTGAGAATTTCATAATCAATTTGATTAATACATGTAAATTATAGAATTATTTTGACTATTTCCTTTGAAAGCCGCCCAATATGTAGGAGCGTGTATTTAGAGGCAAACACCTTAGTGCGGGTATTACTGTCTCATGACAGCATCTAGTTGTCTCTTTGTGCAAGTTTTATTTCGCCAGAAAAGAACACATCAAATTGGACTAAAATTCGATAAATAGTTCAATATGCCCCCTCCTTTTATCGTTTCCCCCCTTCGCCTACATATTTAATGGAGACTGTTGTGCTATGCAAAGTGATGTTCTTCCACAATGTATTTTGAGATAAAGTCTTTTGATTGCAGGTGCTACGCACGCAGAAGAAACAACTGGAATTGAAGAGTATGAAGCTGGAGAAAGAGATAGAACGGGCGGATTTACAGAAAGAAAACATGAAACTGCGAAATGAAAAATTATTATTAGAAATTCAAATCCTGAAGCAGAATGTATCTCAAAATGAAAGTGCCCTTCTTGCATTACAGGTCATCTCTGATGAATAGTTGTAATTTCTAAAGAAAGTTTGAAATAATGAAATATTAAATATGTTTTAAATGAAATTCACAGTTTTATTTTTCACTGCACATGCCAGTGTATATACTTATGAGGAACAATTATATACATTAAAGCAGTCCACGAACAAGTGTAATTACAGAATCAAAGTTACGTTGCCCTTAATCTGGTCTAAAAATACGTTGTCGTAATGTAGTTCCGAATGGCTCGTCCATCCTCTGGGCCTTGGTAGTCCAATTGACCAACGTTATTGTCATCATGATCATCATCATCTTCCATTTCCTCCTTAAGAATCAACGCTATATTATGAAGAATTGCACAGGCTCCAACAACTCGGCACACTTTAGCTGGTTTCATACGGATTTCTCCATGCAGAACATGAAATCTACGTTTCAACCATCCAAACGCTCGTTCTACAGTGGTTCGTGTCTGACTGTGGGCAGAGTTATAAGCCTCTTGCGCAGGCGTTGATGGGTGCAAGTAAGGTGTAAGCAGGAACTTTGAACATGCGTATCCACTGTCACCGAGAAGAAATCCATCTTCGATTCCACGGTGGGTATTCTCTAAAAATGTGCATACCTCTGATGCCCGGAAGATATGGCTGTCGTGGCTGCTTCCAGGCAACTGGGCATCAATATTGATGAACTTTCCTGTAAAAAAAAAAAGCTTATTTCATAAATTTTATTCAAAAACTAGCTGGCACAAACAATTTAAGATTTAAAAAAATGCTGCTTTGAGTGAACATACCCTCATGATCGCAGATGGCTTGCACATTAATGGAGTGCCATCCCTTTCTATTCACGTATGTTGGCTCATCCTCCGAGGGAGCCTGTATCCTGACATGGGTGCCATCAATACAACCAATTACCCCTGGGAACCCACCACGCGTAAAAAACATTCTTTTTGCTTTTAACATATCTTCCTGTTTAGGCCACTTCAGGAATTGGTCCTTCTTTGCTAGGAGTGCATTTGTCACGTTGACGGCTCTACTGACTGTCCCCTTATCTACACCCATGGTGTCTCCAATGACTTCTAAAAAACTCCCGGAGGCGTAAAACCGAAGGGCAAGCATGACCTATATTAAAATTTCATGACGTATTTAATTTTTTAGGAATCAAAATTAAAAAAAATACAACTATTGATGTGTTTTAAGCATTATTACTAAGATGTAGACAATGATTTAATATCAATATTTTTATTCCCCGAACGATGTGTCTATTGCCAGAATCCAAAGACTTGTGTTTATAACTGAAGCATCCCAATATTTGTGCAACATATGCATATACCTCGTTGGAGGGGGGGGGGGGGGTTCGAGACAGATTATTCATTTTCATGTAAGTCAAAGACAGATTATTTATTGTCACGTCACTCAAGGACAAAATTATTTTTCTTTTTCTGTCAAGCCTTGAGGCCCCAGTGTGTCCAGGGCGAAGCCCTGATGGGGGCCCATGGGGCGAAGCCCCCGGAAGCTCCTGGATTGTTGAGATTCTGTAGGGTAAAAATGAGGTCTACCGAGTAGACATTTTTACATTTTCTCGACGAAACTAGGATTTACGCTAGCTTTGTCAATTTTAGGGGGGGGGGGGGCGCCGGGTGCACCCCCCTTAAATCCGCCACTGCAGTCGTTTTACCGGTAACGAATATTTGCTAGTATTGAATATTTTTTTGACTTGAATATTTTTGAAAAGCATGGAGACGGGTTTAAAAAATCTTACTGGGTAAATAGAATAAAAGGATGCATATTCTATACCTGTGTTGTGTTTTTGTGATATCTGCATGATTATTTTCCACAGTATTTGCAGTTTGAAACAATGACCTAGATTTTTAGCACGCGGAAGTGAGATGAGAAAAGTGAAAATATTTTTAAAAAATTCCATGAAAATTATGTCTCAGAGATAGTTGATTAAATTTCAATAACGCATGTCACTATTAATTAAAAGTTTCTCATAAAATGCTACTGTAAAAAACTCCTTAATTATAACCCTAAGGCAATAACAGGGTAGCACTGTAAGTTACACCGGAATGACCATACACTTATCTAATAAGCTGAAATAAAAATATATATACAAAAAAAAAATACAAAATAATTTGATATTTATTAATTAATTAGAAATTAATTAATAAATCATCACTCTTACACTACATTTTTCATATTGTTTAGTTTTAGAAAAATTATCATTTAATTCAACAAGCAATGCTTATGAACTTTAGGTAGAATCTTTTTTAATGTATATCTCCAACAATTTCGACCAACCGATTTTATCCATTAAGTCAGGAACAATAGCATGAATAGAGGGCACTTGATTCGATACTGAAAAATTGATTCTAAACTAGGAAAATAAGGGGAGGGGTATCATTTTTGACAGCTCTGTACCTGTACCATTCATATTTCGTAAATTTTGGTACCACCTTTTTGAAGAGCTTAAAAATACAAATTAAACTTGACAATAACAAAGAAAATTTGGAAATTCAAAGATGTGAGTTGTGTGCAAGACGTAACTAGAAACTTATTCGTTACTGGTAAAATGTACATGTATATTTTATTTGATATTTAGTCTTTATAATATAAAAAATAATTAATATCACTGTTTATAACATGTATGTACATATTTAATGATCGGGGTGTCGAATGACGTCATATTCATAGCTGTGTGACGTATATCATGCATAGGTCTATTGTATAATGTAATAGAGAGAGAGAAAGAGAGAGAGAGAGAGAAAAAAAGTGTATGTGTGTGTGTTTTATCACCTGCATTTCAACTGAAATGGACTGGCTACGTCGAGTGGTTCTCTCCATCTCTCAGTAAATCAGCAATAAAATTGAGTGATTCTCGCTTGAAACGGAACCTGGACCGAATTTGTTTATCAGAGAGATCGGTCATATCTACTCTTTTTCGGTAATTTCGCTTTTTCTGTTCCTCATACAAATTTCCAAACAAAAGTAAATCCGCCATTTTTGTTTTTAATGATTAGTTAAGTATTTAATGTACCTTGTATACCTCAATTAAATCTGTCAGTTAAAAGAGAAGTTTAACTAACGTTTAACTGTGAGTTAACTTTCGAGCAACGCATTTAACTCGCCGTTAAATTTAACTAGCCGTTAACGTAAAGTTAACAGTTAGTTAAATTTAACTAACGTTCGTGCAACCGAATCCAGGTAGTAAGATATGTGAGTTATAATGCTATTTAAAATTTCAAAGCAACACAGTTCACTTAAAAGATATTTGACATTAATGTAGTTAAGTACTGACCTACTGGTAAATGGTAATATGGAAGTCCTGCTTTGCGAAACGACAGCTTCTCAATTTCTTCGTTGTAGCCAATAAGGTCACCAAACTCTGCAGGGTTTGTTGCGGCGAAATTTTGAGAAGAATTAGGGGACACATAAGAATTATTTTTGTTGGGGTCTATAATCTGCTGTTTCAATGATTCCAAACTTTGTCTCGGGCCCAGAGTATCGTCTCCGTATGTCCTTGACCCGTCCTTTATGTTTAGCAGTGTGACAGTTTCCTGTGAAGGTTTTCCCTTATGAGTTGTTCCAGCACGTAAATTTACTACTGATTTAAATCCTGCCTGTTTTATTAGAGGGATGTGAGAGTCTAAGATTTGCCCTGCTATGAACCAGTTTTTGTAAACGGGAGTAGCTGGCCAATAGTTAAGCCACTGTTTTGGTAAATTTTCCCTTTTAGGAAAGTCAACGTTTTCTCCTGTAACATTGCAGAGTGTTCTGTTGGTACATTTCAAACTAAAATCCATGCCTAGTAGTTCACTCATCGTGACAGCGTTTTCTACAGTGAAGTCGGATTTAGTCTGCGTCTTCAGTAAATACATCAACAACGTGAAACTCATGCTATACCCTTGATCCGAGAAAAGAAGTGCAGGTTTCGGGATATTCTTCAAAGAGCGCTCTAGATCTGATACAGACTCAACCGCTGAAGAAATTTTCGAAGAGTTTAATACTGTTCTGAAATGGAGCCCAGCTTCTTTTGCATAGGAAGCCATCTCGGTTGTTGGGGGTAAATGGTCCACCCCCAAACAACAGTTTTTCTTGTCTTTGTACATAAACAGAGAAACAACACTTTTAAATCCTCCCTCTGACGCATACTGTATCTGTCGTCTGCTGAGCCTTCCCGCCACGTAGTAATCTGGAGTTACTTGTTTTGCCCACCATAGTTTTTTGGGTGAATTCAGTCCGATAGAGTTCCGAGCTATAATTGATGTTTTTTCAGTGCCTATTTTGGCATGTACTGCTCCTACTGACATGAAACGAATCTCATTTTGTAAAAACACTGCAGAAAACACACTTGTAAGAAGAGCCCGATTCGATATCATGTTTTAATTAAATATCTCAGTGTATACAAATATTCAGTATTTTTTTCAAACTAGCAGTAAAGTGATCAATATCCAACATTTGAACAGATGTTCACAATAAGAGTTTCAATTCAAAAAATATACTCCTTCACAAAGTAAAATAAAAGTATACAGAAACAAAGTGTGTTTATTATACATGCTTAATGAGTTTGGTATTGGGTATTTATATGAAAGATTAAAGCACAAACGTGACTCAAGTAATGCTGCCATGTCTTACGGTAAGCCGTTCACTGCATCTCTGATTTTCAACTTTGAATGATCACAAGAATAACTCAGAAGATTAATGCTCGAATAAGGCTTTCTACACCCAATATTATTAATCATGTTCATTTATATTAATTGTAAATAGCAAGGTTGATTATTTTGGAGGAATACTTGGAAGAATTTTTCCTAATGTTAGTAAGATTTGACTGTGTTGTGTTGCCGTATTAATGCAATTTAAAGGTCGCTGACGCAATGAGTTGTGAACGTGAAGGCTAGGCTGCGAACGTGCTGTTATTTGCTTGTGTTATTCATTGATAGAAGTCAACATCTTTTGCATTTTAATTGAAATAAAAAATAATGCCAATTTTTGTAACATATTTTATTTAAATATTATGATGTGCATACATAGATTTTAGATATTACATAATTTATATTGTGTGTTAATTTATCATAGATTTTTAAATTGTATTGAAAACTCAGATGCTTTCTTTAATTATGATTTCTTCATCCTATATTTCGTCAATCTTGTGTAGAACTGTTTAGGTATGTTTATTAAAAAAAAAAAAGACAGCATTTTCCACCGTGATAATCATGACGGACGTCTAAAGCCGACGATCTTAAATCATTTGTTGAGAACTATGTTGTACTATTGACCTTTTGTTCTTATATTCCCAAAGATCTTTGAGCCGTCTTTGGATTTTTGACCAAAATATCAAGTCTCAAATCAACAGATTAAAAATATGATATACTAGTACATGCATATATATGTTTCTGATTTTTGGCTTGTTATCTTTCATTAGTAATACCTTAATTAAAGATTTGGAAGAAGAACTTATTATTCACGAGCCATAGACAAAATGAGGACTTTATTTACTCCATCGCTATTTTACAAATTAAGATATACTAAGAAAAAAACATTTTCTTTTTTTTTACGTCTTGCTCCTCTGTCTTCAGTAATTCAGATGTGAAATAATGTTCAGAAAGATTACGTGGTGAATACAGTGTATGTACTGATGACAGCTGATGAAAGATGTAATTAATTGTAAGGCTCATCTTTACTATAGTATTGTGGAGAAACGGGTTGATTTTAATTTAACAATCCAATTTAGGATCCTTCAAAATCATAGGTCAGTTTTAATATTTTTAATATTCCGGTCAAACTGAAGTCAAATTACCAGGTACATGCATTGTACCTATACTGGATTCCAAAACCTCAAAAAATCCTAAGATAGATACCAGGCGTGTTTTAGTAAATGTTATACCAATTTTCCTTAATCGCTGACAAAAATATAAACAGAAGTAAAGGATAAAATTCAGGAGTACTATGTATACAACCTATTCAAGATATTAATCAGATGTGGATATCAAGACTTTTAGAAAATATGGACCCACTTGCAACATGTATTCGGCTTTCCTTAACTCTGAAGAACCGTTCCCTCGATAGATGAAATAATAGGCATTTTGACACCATGGACAACTGCTTATTAAACAAGCATTCTAAGAGTATTGAATGAGCAAACCTTGTCCCCTACCAGCAAGTGCAATGAAGTTCTCGTTAAGAACTAAATTTATTGATTAATCATATCTGTAAAAAAGAAATAATCGAAACAAAATAAAATGCTAACTTAATTTATAACTCATAAAGCTACACTCACATGCCAGAAATTAAGCTCAATATCTGCAATAGTTTAGAAAGAAAAGAGCGGGAAACCAAGTTGGCAGACGGGGCGCGCCAGAAAGACTTGACAGAAACCGGTTCCTTTCGGTCTGTCTGTCCCGCTCTCTGTCTACCCCATTAGATATCCCGCACTTTCCCCCTAAAAGTTTGGTGATATTGAACTGATTTTTTTTATGAGTGTACCTTGATGAGATATAAATCAATATTACATGTTGTTGCACTTCAATATTTATTTTGTAATGAATTAGGGGCCTTATATAAATTTTTTTAGGAGAACCAAAGTGCACTTGGCGAAAGGGGACCTGGTATTGCTTCAACCTTTGACTACAGGATATTCTGTCTATCAGATGGCCTGATTACCATACCTTATCTTTCTAAAATATCTTGAGATAGACTTATAAGTATATTTTAATAAATGCACTCAAAACATTTGTAATTTTATCTGTCAGGTGTTATAGTCTAACTTTGCTTGGATGATGTATTGTGTTCTTGGTTTAGAGTTTAGTTTCGTTTGACGTTGATATTGTTTTTTGTTCTGTGTTTTATCAAAAGGATGATTTTTATGGAGATTTGAACTATGTTTCGACTCTTTATTCAGCAAATAATAAAAACGATTGAAAGCATTGCGAGTAGTTTTACAAAGTAACAGATTTCAGGTGGACTCATAAAACCTACCAATGGATAAACTAGAAATCAACAACACAATCAAGAAGGGACATTAATAAAAGTTGCCTTTGGTGTGGCAGTCAGGTGGGTCGATTTAGGAATAAGTTCTTCAGTCTTCTTGCCTGATTTGGGGTCGTCATAGTTCGACATTGGATTAGGGGTTTTGGGGCGCATTCGTGAACTCGACAAAGGTTTGGTGTCATCCTCGTTGATGACAGAGATCGTTTCTTTTGCTTTCCTTTCTTCTGCTTCCTTTAGAATATCTATGAAACTAACGTGACTGCTTCTACCAGAATTTAGTCTACTTGTTGCACGCATGCTCTCTGCTATGCTACGACGTCCATCTTTGTGAGCTGTACTTCCGAAATCTGTAAAAGACATGTCTGTGTCACTACGGAGCATGAGTCTCCCGAAGCTTTCCGATGTAGTATCTGAGAGTAAAATTTTATATGGACTTGTCACTTTCACAGGACTAGATAATTCTAATCTTCTGGTCGGAGACTGAGAGCTAGCTTTACTTCGTCTATCAATTATATCGTCATTGTTTGGAAAGCTCATTTTCATTGAGTTTGACGTAAGGGATGTGCGTGGTGTATGAAATGGATCACGTGGTTTGCTGAAGTGTATCGGTTTAAGTTGCTGGCGTCTCGGATGATCCATTTTCAGGAAGGGGATCACGGGAGAACCATATACTGCGAACGGATTGGTCATGCGTAGACTTGGACTTTCCATTTCTTCCAAACGAGGAGTGGCCAAAGTCGAGGACATCCTAGCGTGCAGCTGCTGAGTTTCCTTACCAAGATTTTTCAAAATCACTTTCTGTGCTTTCTCATAATACTGCATTTCTTTGGACAACCTGTTGCTACACCGGTTGTTATTCCTTCGAACCCCCTCGGTATATTCGGACCTTGGAATGTGGTCCCCAAATTGAATTTTTCTGTTCCGCTTTGGCACCTGCACCTTTTTTTCCTTGTCCTGCATCCGTCCTTTCGTGGGTATTTGCATTGTTTATCATGTCTACAAAAAATCATGCATGTCACTTTTAATATTTCAACTTAAATCAACTTAATTATTTAAAAAAACCAACAACACTGATTTATTTAAAAATACAGGGATATTTTATTTTGAATATTATGAAGGTATTAAAAAAAAAGAACATTTCTAATCATTAAAAGAATATTTTAATGAAAATTGATAAATACAGTTTGTAGGAAATTGGATATCCACAAATTTTGTAAAAATTTTATACAAACAGATGCATAGTTCGTATTATCATTTTCTTGTTCTGAAAACATTCATATCATAGTATTATTAAAAAAATGTTCTTTTTACTTCGTTGGAGGTTCATTTTTCAGCATTTAAATTTAAAATGCATTTAACTGACATAATTTATTTTGTTAAATAGGATTAAAGACCATCTACCATCTAGTAGAAAACCATGGTTGCCTCCATAGATACATTAATGAAAAATTATGTAGGAACTATCAATATGAAGAGGGATTGTGGTGATCTAGAAAAAAATGTACTTTGTTCGCTTGTCCTTAGTTGGAGAGAGTGAGAGAAGGCGGGGAAGTAACACTGAGTGGTCAACTTTGCTTACGTCATCACCTTGTAGAAGGCTAGAAATGAAATTCAATACACATCTCTCTCTCCTCCTCCCTCTCTCTCCTATCAAAATTGATCCAGACCCGGAAATTAAAACGACGACGAATGTTAATAGACTTGAGGGAGGTAATCAACACCAATTAAATCGTCGATGATAATTAAAGATAATTCCTAAAATTGCAGACTATGTTCCATTTTTCTCTTGTCAAAATGAGGATACTTTACATAAAACATCTGCAAAAAAGCTTAGTTGGGTTCATAAATCTTTTTTTTCCCACCTTTTCCTGTGAAAGCTTTTGATTAAAAAGAAGTACCCGAGGTACATTAATTTAAGATGAGAAATTCTGTTTCAACCAGAGAAATGTCTTCAGAATACCACATACTTCGTCATCTGGGAATGAATTACATTGAATTATTATGTTCCCCAAACGAAGTTGGGGAACATATTGTTTTTACTCTGTTTCTTATTATTATTATTTTTCTTCTCGGGAAAATTTTGTCCGCGAATGATCTTGTAAACTACACATCCGATTTAGGTGAGATGTTTTTAGGGTCAGTAGACATGTGATGTAGATTTGCGGAATCAAGGTCATGTTGCGCGCACGTGCTTGCAAGAGCGCGCACGTGCAAAACTTGAAATGACCAATATATAATGGATAAAACCGTAACTTTTCTATTTTTTAACAAAATGTTTTGAAATTCATAATGTAAGGATATATTAGTAGTATGCAGAAGATGACATGGTCAAAATAGCAAGATCTCACGCGCATGCACGTGCGCTTTGCTCTGATTGGCTGAAACTAAAGTCTCAATATCTTTCTTGTTTTTTGATAAAATCATTTGAAATTTTGAACATAGTCATACATTAGGGAGATCTACAGCC